CTTCATTCTTGGACATTTAAACACATTAAGCAAAACTTTTTGGTAAAGTCTATCAAATTTTATATTTTGTACTTTGCTTTTATCATTTTAAATTGATTTTTTGCCAGCTTGTGACCTTTGAAAGACCCTGGTGAAGCTGAGAGCAAGTCTCTATGACATTACCACAGTAACACAATACTTTTTGTTCTCACCATTCCAAGTCATGCCTATTTCAGAAAATTAGAATTGTATGGAAACATTGACATGATTTTTGAAAAAACAGTTTTTAACATTTTATACTCAATTTTACATGATACCTTCTAATTCCTTTATGAATGGAAATCAATGAAAAATGTGAATTATGCACAGACGTTAGAGGCTTTAATTTCACTATCTTCATAAGCCAGGCTCAAGGTTGGTGAAAGTTGAACAATTAAGACATTTGAAATATGGTTTTAATAAGCCGTATACACGATGTGAATAACTTTTTACGAAAATATGACAGGTAATCCATCATTGTTAGTAGAATAAAAGAAATGCACTGATATTTCACTTGATCTTGACAAGTAGAAATATTGTACCCAGCTAGTGTCTGTGACTCAATATTTCAATACCATAATGTACTAAGAACCTGATCATTGTCAAGTTCACAACTTTCCTTCTCAAGATAAGTCCAAGATTTATTGAAAAAGATCCACAGTACACCTACAAAACAGCACGTTAGTTAGGAATTACATGCAGTTACAAAAATGATAAGTGTTTTAGATTTTTCGGAAAAGTGGAATATAGAAAACAATAAATATTTAAAATCTGATCCCAACTCTTTAGATAGATCTATGAAGGACTGCTCATTGATAAACATTCACTATATGAAGCAGTTCAGAACAAGAGAAAATTATGTGATGAGAGATGGCATGTTACATTCAGGGTGTTCTTTCTTCCTTTCACCAGACCCCTAATTAATTACTCAAAGAGTTCCCTGTCTACTCGGGAAATGACATCATTTGCTTGAAAGTTCAAATTGTGAAATTCTTGGCACAATTTCTTGCAATTTGTAAAACACCCATCCTCCTAAGCAGGTGTCCAGAATCCGTACCTCCTTCTCCCCCCCCCCCCCGCTATAAGCAGTTAGCATTTCCCCGATTAAGAACTCGCAATTTGATTCGCTGTCGCAACTTTGCGACAGCAATCATGTATACGTCATAGGCGCATAATTAGATCACGTGATTCAGTTTAATCGGACGCTTCCAACTTTTTTGGTTATAGCAGGGGGTAAAAAGAAAGAAGATATTCTGAATTTGGAAGCCCTGTGATCGGAGGATGTAAAACACCACACATTTGATATTTACTTTGATGAAAATGAAATTCGGTGTGATGTAATAAATCCATGGGAATCAAAAATCAGCAGAGGCAAGGAAAAAGTAACATCAAAACTGGATAAAATGCGATTTGAAATGACATTAATGAATCTACTTGGCAAGTCATGCTCATTTATCAGCTTTACCAGAAGACTTCTCAAATGAGCTTACGTGACTTTCCTGTTCCTCATAGGAAACCATCATCATAGTACTATGGTTCAACGTCAATAGAGAGACTGATCTGTAATTAAGTGATGACTTTGACAATGGCCTTCTGATGGCATCCATTACACATATATGTATTGTAATTGTTACTGAGAATAGTGCATTAATGCTAGAGGCCCATTTGGTTCTGACATCTTTTAAATATTTTTAAATTGTTCCTGTTTTTTTACTGTCATATAAGACTATAAGGAAAGAGTCTCAATTTTCAGCAATGCATCCATGCTGAAATGGGTCTGACATTTGTAGTATTCCCTTTACTATGATAAGGAATAGAAGTATAACCTCAATGGAAAAACTGATGAATTATCCCGTATTTGGCCGTGAGGTACATAAAACAGGTTTTTAAAACATATTATTTATATCAGCCCCATAATACATTAAATATATGGATTAAATACATTGAGATTAAATAGTATTGAAACCGTGGGAGCAAAAATATTTGATTTCCTCATTAACACAAATTGACTACGACAAAGTCAAGGCAATTTTTACCCTTGAGTGTGATATAAATTGTTTTTAAAAGAGTGAAATGTCTCAGTTGCCAGGGATAGGGAAATGTGTAGTGGAGTTCCATGTTCCCTGTTGGAATTGTAAATTAGGCCATAAGAAGCAGATTCTTTGTTTTGCGTCCTGGCAAAATCCAAATCAAGCAAGGGTACAAGGAAAACAAACACAAACTCAAGAATAAACACAAACTTGTTTGCTGAGAAATGTATACATTTTATTGGCATGAAAAGGAATGACATGCCAATTTGCAGTGATTACAAACACATATCTATGCATTTTATACGATATAATTAAACATGGCTATTATTCAAGGGTAAAAATAAGAAAATACACAATGTATGCCAAAGTAATCAATAAGACTTTCAATTTTGACGTACATCAAAATATCCGCCATTTCGTCTGAACGAATTGCGATGGTACTTTCAGACCCCTGTGATTGCTATTTGGATGTGTTTGTTTTTTCTGATTTACTCAAAATCATGCAAGCAAGGGGACGCAAAACAAGAATCTACTTCTTATGGCCTTATCTGATATTACTTCAGAGCTTCTGTGAGCTGTATCCATTAAGCCTGTCAACTGAAATCATGAAGTCTCAAGTCTTACTGTCACTACTGTGGATAGAGTGAACTAACCTTGGATTCATATTGACTGTTTAAAAAAACAAAACAAATGGTTTTCTATTGCATTGTTAATGTCGGAATTAGGGCAATGACTTTAGGAACAGTGGTTATAGAAAAGTAAATCGCTCAATTAATTACATGTATGTACATGTAGTTCATTTGTAAGGTTCAGTAGCCTTAGCAGGATCTAGTGCGGTTCCAAGATTTGTAATTTCAATATTCTAATAATCTAATGTATGACATCATTCCACTTGCTTTAGAATTTTCATTTCTGAGGTTCTGTGACCACAACATTCTACTGCAAATCAAACTCTCTCCCCACCTAGTGCCGACCCATAGAGCATAAACAATAAAATTAAAAATTAAGGCAGTTCCGCAATTTCCCTCAAAAATTGGAAAATGTAATTTCAACATTAAATCATATTTTTTCAATAATGTTTAAATATCAAATTAAAAATGTGAGGGATATTGCCCATTTCATTGATAACTGAAAGCCCATGGTACTATAACCATCAAAATTACAAAAATTCTCAGCATGTTAAAATACACTGACTGTAATAAAAAGATGAAGTTCATATGCTCCTGCTATTCATTTCTATTAAAGTACAAATATTATTCTAAGGGCAACTGTAAGGCAGCATTGTGAATGCATGTCACGTGCCAGACTAAATGATTAATGAAACAAGACATTAATCATGATAACCATTACTACACATTAAAGACTCAATAAAAACAACATAATTTTCCTACTATTACCCTTTAATCTCAATTAATCTGTACTGTAAAACCTGTTCAATTGCCAGTGTTCATATCTTATTCTTTTGAACATGGTAGTCAATGGAAGAGTACAAAATTGGGACATGTTAAAAGTGTTCTATCCAGGTACTCAGATAAGAGAGATGTTCGGGTATACAGGTTTCACTATATATTCAATACATAGAGGTTATTTAGTGGGAACTTTTTGATACAGGGTATATCTGAGGGAAATACAATTCATATACCCGAGGGACCGAATGGATTTAGCAAGTATGGGATAACACTTCTAGCACTAGTCTTCACTCAAATATTGCAACTAGGAAAATAATTGGCTGAAAATATATTTGTTACCAATTGAAAATTTGGGAAATCGAAATTTTGAAATTAACCATATCATCAGAATGAGTAACATGAAATTTCGAAACCAGTTAAGAAAATATCTTGCGAAAAACACTGAGTACATATTAGGTATAGAGTAACCCAGGATACGAGAGACTGTTAATCATTTTAATCAAAGGAAATAAAATAAACTGTACGATTACGGCAGGTCATCTTGTACTCTTAAGGTTTAAATCACGCCGATCATCAAACGGAACTCCGTCAAAGGGGAGGGCATTGGGAGTGATAAAAGCAGCAGATACAGCAATTACTGTTGGATCTTAACTATCACGTGTAAATTGTAAATAAAAGTATTTTTCCATAGCAAAATCAATACACTGATGATTCCATACAAAGACGATAAAAACAATTGATATCTTAGATAAGGGGTCTCCAAAACACAACCACATGTTTATTCCTTGAACCCAGCGAAGACCAAGCGTGCAGGATGAAAAATATCTCGATCATGTAGCCATCAAATTAACACCTCCCTCTATACCCTGAATCCAGATCAGCTAGTCTCTCTCTCACAATTACAGAAGATTTTAGTTTAAAGCTCAGCCTGATAACCTCTAAAAGATCTCAGACTTTGCGTTCATTGTCTTTTAATGTAATTAATGCTTATAGATCTGCGAATAATGCTAAATAGATAAATGTCAGACCAAAGGACGATTCTCGGTTTGGAGAACGAAGTTCATCAATCTAAATGAGCATTATCCCTGCTTCGGACAAATTTGATTTTTTTACATAATATAGATTTGAATGTCTTCTTTTGAATAGTCATAATTTAATTTGGGTAATATTTCTAGATTTTTCGCAATAAAAAAATATTACCGCAGTACACTGATGAACTTCTTTCCCCAAATCGAGACTTGTATTTTATTAAATCGGTCTAATTGAGCGTTATCCCTGCTTCAGACCAATTTGTTATTTTTACATCTTGTAGATTTAAATGTCCTCTTTTGAATATTCATAGTTTAATTTGGGTAATATTTCTATATTTTTCATGAAAATAATTATTAGCCCAGGAGACTGTTCTCCAAACCGAGAATCGTCCTTTAATGAAACAGAGGCAAGATAAAGAAATCATGTCTATTTTAAAGAGTGGAGACAGGGTTAAGCTCCTGTATAGAGTGAAATAACCTCCTAACATGGCAAAACCCTTTATGTATTCCAGGGACCTTAGCAACAACCACCTGACAGAGCTACCAGACCTGGATGTACAATATAGTAGCCTGGTAACAATAGATGCGAGGCGTAACGGAGACCTGGTACACATCCCGACATGGGTCAGCAATCTCGCAAATCTGACCTCACTTCTAGTCGATAAAGGATCCACATGTTGTGTACTTGAAAAAGAAATGTTAGCACAAAATGGTAATTCATCTCGACTTCTTAAATATTTTTCTTAAGAAAGGCAATGAATCTGCACTTGGACACTTGTTTTTGATACTTTATTCAAGATAGTATCAATAGGTTTAAACAACAGAAAATACCATAATTTATATCTGAAATTGGTCAAGTAATTATACTTTTAATTGATTACAAATTCAATAGACTAGATGCGAGTAGAAATAATCTTGATTTACGTCATTAAATATTCAAAATACAGACAAAGTGATGTCATATTTGAAATCTACATGTAAAAGTACATCTAGAAATATGGTTTCGAAAATTGTTTATCAACTTTGAAAATTACTTTTTTTTGAAAATGTGACTTCTTGTTCGGGTTGATTCCTCATAGACCCCATGTTACAAAATCACAAAAAGTGAAATGTCTTTTCTTGTATTGGACAGATAACATTTTCTTTTACTGGACATATTTTAATTTGTACAACTATTAGATACATAAGGGTTATATAAAAATTGAACCACTAAAACAGACGTAATTTAAGTTTAAGCGAACTTTCTACTATACCCGCCATGTTATCTGACCCGAACAAGCCACCTGGTGGCGAAACTGGTAACTACCTACTCACATCTGCGTTATTAGGAAACATTTTAGGAACTGTATAACATTCAAGAGAGAGTGTGTGAGAGAGGGAGGGAGTGAGACTTGTAATAGAAGACAGCGAGGGGGTTGATACAAGACTATATTTCTAAAAAAAATATTAATTTTATTGTTTTCCATTTTCAGGAACATTGGGTAAACACTGGGTAGAAACAGTGTGTCAACCTACTGTACCAAACACAGAGTGCACTGACCATCTCCTAGATATCTTTACCTTGGTACTGTATGGCTTAGTGGCTGCAGCCTCCTTCATCATAAACACATGGGTGAGTACATAATGGGTATAAAGGGGTGGAGTCTACCGAGATAAGGTAAAGAGGTTTGAAAATATTATATTATTAGAGCCTCCAACATAAACATAATGTAATCCAACATAATAAACATAAGGTTTAAGAGCTTCAAAAACATGGTACAAGGGATCCAAAAGTTCATATCTTTATGAATTGAAAGATTTTGTAACGTTCCAACAAAATAATGTTGTTTCACCAATTTATGGTTTATAAGACCCATAATATCATACAACTTCACTTCTTAAAAGAGAGCTTCGTCTTCACTCTTTCAGTTTACAATAAATCTCTGATCTCACCAAGCCAATAAGAGTTTGTCTTCGAAAAACAGACATAAGGGCATGTGGGTCTTACCATAAGGATAAGGATTAAGAAAACTCCAGATATAGCCCCTCACCATAATACAGGGGGCGAAATAATTTTTTTTCAGTTTGTCCCTTAACACTTTTCACACTCTCCTTCCCTCTGAAACTTCAATCCAATATTTATCTTTTGTTCAAATTATATATTGCTTTATTCTAAAAATTGATATAGGCTTATAAATCATAATGGACTTTTGTGTGTCTTCCCTTGATCTGCTCAGTAGCTAATTGGAGAGAACATAACAATTCGTGTTTTTACTTCCTCTCATAAAACATATCTTATGGTTGAGGGCTTACATAGAGATTATCTGGAAAGGGGTTCAGGATATTGTGATTATCCCAAGGCAAGTGTAATATATCTGCCCAATAAAATACAAATTCTGATGGTTGCCTTTTAGAAAGGCACACAAATTCAATTGTGATAAACAATATATTTCAACCTAAGACAAACTCAGTAAATGTATCATATTCCTAATGATCTAACCTTTCCAATGGTATGTCCCAAACTGAGAGAAAATGATGTCATTCTTACACTTAACACTCGAACTGAGCTTCGTGATAGATTGCCTATATTAAGAGAAATTCCTCATAGAACACACATCCAAACAGAATAAACACACGGGCATTTTGTTTAAGATCAATGTGGTTTAAAGGGGTGATCTGTTCCACATCTTTACAAATAAGCCAATGTTTTTGCTTGTTTGTTTTACCATGGGCTTAGTATACAATTAGTTAAACTATGTAAACATATAATAAAATACTCCTGGCCATGGGAAAATAAAAATTAGAAACAAAAAATAAGGTTGGGATATTAAGAAACTTGAACCTGGGTATTGTGAAGTATTAATCCCTTGATAGTTAAATGTTTGTTTAACTGGGCCTGTATTTCACCAAAAAAAAACCTAAATGAATTACCTGCCATTTTTCGAATGATTTTACCACTTTTACTTCATTTTGATTTTCATTAATATTCAAATTGTAGAGTAAAAAGTAGAAAAGTCCAGTCCCTTGGTCTTGTTTTAAAAAGCAAAATGCCTGCAAAACTCAGAATTAACACATATGTGCCTAATACAATGCACCAGTCATAACAAACTTAGTTTCAGAGCATACATGTAAAACAATAGCCTGCACCTCAAATTTTGAGGGATTTTGATTTAAACTTTTTCTCGGAGTCTTATTTAATACAATGGTTCTCAATGCATATATTTTTTTGTATTGTAAAATATTGAACTTTGGACCTTCATTCAATGTGACAGCCCGCCAGGGGCCCAGGCTATCACAGAACAAGAAAAGAGGAAATTGAACCTAGAATTTTTGTTTTGGGAATACCCTTTTTTATTTTGTTGCACCATATGTGACAGCTGAGTTCATATAGACTTCTATGGATTGATATAATCAATTAGATTTTATGCGAGCTAATAACCTTCAAACGCTGCAGCGCCTTTGTGCTTCTAGTAATTTTGAAATTGTTCCATTATCTCCAAGATCAAACTCAAGAAAGACCCCCACAAACAACCAAACATAGACACCCAACAGAGAACACTTCAAATAGTTTCATTCCCCTATCTTTTCAGGTACTGGTGGTCCTCTATGGTACAAAGAACAGACGTACAACCCCTACACAGCTACTTATGGGCCAATTCCCTGTCTCCAACCTACTAATGACTTTCTATACTGTTGTCTTACTAGAGAGAAGCGTCTCATTCTACAATGAATATCATTATCACCAGGAATCGTGGATTCACAGTCAGTTGTGTACATTATGTGGATTCATTTTCATCACATCAAATCTCATGTCTACCCAGTTATATTTATTGACAATCATAGAAATGTATATCAAGATCGCATTTCCCTTTAAAGATCATTTACATTTGACAGGCAAAAAATTAAACTATGCGATTCTGATATTGTGGATTATATCATTGTCTGTCGCAACGCTTCCATTGTTTAAGAGTGTTCGAATTGGAATGTATAACGTCACAAGCATGTGTATACCTGTCTATAGTGGAACACTGTTTGGGTTAGAGACTAATATATGGCTGAGGATATATGCCAGTATATTAACACTTTGCTTTGAGACTATTGTTGTGTTACTCATACTTTTACTGAGATCTGTGAGTCACCAACGTCATTCGAATACACTCACGCAGGAGAACAGACGATTGGTTTACAACGTAATATTTATGATCGCAATCCATATCGTATTATGGTCAGTGCTCCTCATATGTCTCTTCATGTCAACGTTCGGAACTGGAGAACTAGGATACTATGGACGTATAGGATTTTCTCGACTTGCGGTTCTTGAGACTATTCTCAATGTTACTGTGTATATTATACGTAAAAGAACATTTCAAGAAGACACAAAACGATTCATTAAATTATTTTTTGAAAAAATAAGGTGTACCTCAGTTTTATGATGTTGCCCACGATAAATGTGTCTACGCACAAGGAAAGCATTATACATGTACTGTAAATGAAAATACTTTATGAAATTATAATATTTAGATAAAATATCATGCCAATTAAAAATGGAAATTGTTTATTTATAATATCTATCATTTTTAGTTGAATGTATTTTTGTCACAATCAAGGGTAAATAAATATTAAATATATGAATATGTCCCATCTTGTTTGAAAAATATTGTCAAGAAATGAACTTCTTAATGTATGATCCCACAAAAGGCAATTATCACTGACTCAGATATTACTTATACCAACATACAGGCCACCTAGACTTCCATCAACACGAACATCAGTTCTAACGTCATGCGAACCACGTTCCTTGCACTCGAACCACGATTCTGACATTGCGTGAGTAAAATCTAGAGTTGCACACCACTATTTCCTCGCTCCCGAACATATTTCTCTACTCATGCGCAGAGATCCATGCTCGCGAACCACTATGTACATGGTGGTGCGCGACTAAAGATTTTACGTTTGTGATTGTGGTTCCAGTACAAGGAACGTAGTTCTCAACGTCAGAACTGATGTTCACATTGATGGACGTCTATGAGGCCTGAACAGAAAGAACAGCAATTCTCATTTTAATTCACAGTTATACATGATAGCGCCATCTTTAGAAAACATGAATTCCTATTCTGATGAATCTGTTTCTAATGTGATGCATCATTCGAACGAAATTTATGTATCTAATAATAAAGTGCTAATCCAAATCCATGTTTTTTTTATTTCGATACAATCAAACATGGCATTTCTGCTTAATTTGATCGCATCTCCTCAAATTAAAGTCCTATATGACGATGCAAAACAAGTACAAGGGTCCCACCAAGAAATGGTAGCAATAACTTCTTGGTGGGGACATAAAAATGACAAAAAAAAACTCACCTTTCCAAGTGCATCCTCATCAGTGACCAATTTATAATGTGGGGAGTCTGAAAGCACTCTCCAAGCAGTGAGCCCAAGTTTTGATGCACTTGCTACCTCCATGGCAGAGTTAGACTCCTCTGTGCAGCTTCCAACAATGATTAGTTTGTGAAGTGGATGAAAGATGGCGCAGTTGATACCCCTAGGATAGTGTGTACCAAAATGGAAAGTGTGCTCTTTTTTAAAATCTCCATCATTGCTGGAAAATAAGAGAATATCAAGGCTTTAGACACTATATATAGCTAAAATGTTTTACTGTATGTGGGGTATTTAATCTGAGTGGTTCATTTGCAGGATGAGCAAAAGACAAGTCTCGATTTGCAGAACAGCCTTCTGGTAAATAATTTTTTTTGGAAAATATAGAAATAACACCCAAATTAAATTATGAATATTCAAAAGAGGACATTTAAATCTACAATATGTAGAAATATCAAGATTGTATGAAGCAGGCTTTCTGTGCAGTAGACCGATTCAATAAAAGACAAGTCTCGGTTTCGAGAACAAAGTTCATCAGTCTACTGTGCTAATATTTATTTTATGAAAATATAGAAAGAACACCCTAATTAAATTATGGATATCCAAATGAGGATATTTAAATCTACAATATGTAAAATGTCCAAAGCAGGTGTAACGTGCAATAGACGGATGAACTTCTTTCTTCAAACCGAGACTTGTCCTTTTATCATTTTTCTAATTTTAATTCTCCAAATGACAAGAAGCTTCCCACTGGATATCATTATGGAGATAATATTTCCGAAAATATATTTTCCAAACCTGGCAAAAATTAGGCAATAAGGAAGTTTATGATAAGGTAAAATTACCACTTATACAGGATGTCGACAAATAAAATGATGTTTTAGTTGTATGCATTGGTTACAGTTACACAGCGGGTTAATCTCTTCATAAAAAGGTTCATAAAGAGTGATTTTTGAGGTGTTCAATAGGCACAGAATCCTTTGCATGCTAACCCTGCTGTACAACAGGTATGATTGTCTATAGGGGGCAGCACCTTCCAGTGTCTAAGACTGCTGGGGAGTTGAGAGATTGTTATACATGTACATGTATCATATTTCAAAACAAATCTCATGGAGTAATCATTGAATATATAAATATACATGCATATATTTACACATTTGGACAGTTGCCGATATGGCCTAAAATCTGTTTGTCCATTCATAAACTAGGCAATTTTGGTAAGAAACTGGCCTTATGGGCCTTATTTTTTGGGGCCTATTCTTAAGAAAATGAATTTTTCAAATGCAACAAAGGAACCTTTTGGGTGCCCCTCCTCTTGAATTGCAGGTCCGCCCCTTAATCCAGTTTCTTTCTTTCCAGATCTTTCTTTAGGATGCTAGTTATATGAAATTCTCTCCTTCACTCCCTGTGCCTTTGAAACATTTCTCAACAATTTAGTATAACCACCTTGTCCTTGACAGTTCTGATTTAGAGCTCTGTTTACAAACTTTTTCAAGTCACTTCAACACAAAATAATTCAAAACATTCAGGCAAGGGCTGATTTGACCTAAAAGAGGAAATGAAGAATGAACTAGTTGGTTCTACTAATGACATACCTCCTTTAATAAAGAACAAAACAATAACAGAAACATTATAATCCAGAGTTCATGAAAGTGTATAACAAGAACCTAAGCCCTATTATTAGAATATTTGAAACATTTCTAGCATTATGTACATTATCATCAAGATTTCTCAAGTTTATTCTTGTAAAGTATGCGCTAGGATGTAGTTCATAATTGATCCATTTAATATAATAATATATATGTTTAAATTGACATATATAAAATGTGTGATTGAGTACTCTAGGAGATTTATAAAACAAACAACATGATATATTATTCCTGGGCCTCAGACGAGAACAATCAACTTCAATAATTCTAATGTGTTTTGTGAAACACAAAATTGGTGATAACAGATTATAATACATCTCATGATGATGAAGCACATTTAAAATAGCATAATTAGCATGAAACAATAAATATTAAATGGCTATATGCTCCAAAGCATGTTATCCTCTCAGGGTGGAACTTTTGTTAACCACATACACTTTCAAGATGTACTTTCTCTAAAAAAGGTCTTAATGGAATCTTAATTATTAATCAATCAATGGATCTTCAAATTAAACATTTGAGCCTTTCCTATGTTCTCTTTAATTGGTCAATAGGTCCAACTATGTCATGGCATTGTAACAGGCATTTTACTTTATTTGTTAATCATAAGTACCCCCCCCCCCTCAACATTTGTGTTAAATGGACCAGTCCTCATAGCACCAGTTCTCACATGATCTCCTAGGTCACCTTCATCCATGTAGTAATCCAGGGAAACAACATTAACTGCGGATTTTATCAAACAGCTTTGAAAAGTGAAGGGACTTCTACGAGTAAACTGATCAGACAAGTAGAAGGAGAAATATGTTTGGATTCTTTTTGCTGTTAATAGTGGCACAAGTTGTCATATGTGATAGCCACACACAGGAATCAGCTTGTAGAAGATATGACATCAGAGCACTTGACTTCTGGAGAAATGGAGGAGAAATTGGTGAGTTGTCTGTATTTGAACATTGGTGCATGATATCTGTATCCTTTGACATGGTTGTATAAATTTCAACTTGGTTTACAAAGTGAAACAAGAATTTATAAAGTTGAAAACAGTTGTACAAAACTGAACATGGTTGTACAAATTTAAACTTGGTTTACAAAGTGAAACATGGTTTTATAAAGTTGAGAACACGGTTATATAAAGTTGAAAACAGTTGTACAAAACTGAACATGGTTGTACAAAGTTAAACAATTGGTTGTACATGTTAGTGTGTATTGTACATTTTTGAACATGGTTGTATGTTGGTATATATGGTTGCAAATGGCTGTACATTGTTCAAAATTGAACATGGTTGTACATGATTGATTGTAAATGGTTGAACAAGTCACACTCCAACCTACATGTATTTTTGAATTTATCAATAATATACTCATTGGTAATGTGATCATGAAATAATGTACAATTTATATCAAAACAAATTCACTAATTAATAAACACTCCACTTTGTTCAAGCATATAGGCTGAATAATAATTAGATCTACTGTTAATTTTTTAAGGTTACATCAACATCCGTGGTAACAGTGGAGAATATCATCATGTATTCCGTGAGATTAACAGTGCGGGGGAAGTCTGGCTGCACTTTGGAAGGCAGGGACAAGTGGACTGGAACTATATAAACTCTATCTCAAACCTCAGCCCTATTGTCTTGCTACAACAGAGGCACATTGATGCAATTTCTGACTTTCACATTCTTGATTATGCCATAGATACTGATGTAGACTTCTATCTACAGGCTGACGATAGCACCAACCCGAGTCTCTTGAAAGTTTTCTGACCCAGCGACGATGTTTGAGATCAAAATGGATCGAGGTGGAAATCATGCACATTTGACATTTGCGCCAGGTTATTTTGATAGAATACAATGTACAGGTGCGAGCAATAGCAACACTTGTGGTCAGTTTAAGAAACCACTGAAGGATCAAAACACTGACCCAATCATTATTTGGGAAGCCAACTTTAGACCAACTGATACTGATCTTGGGGCAACTGCTGCCAATGTTAATGGAGTATACTGGCATCGTAATAAGTTTACTTGGAATGGTACAAAATACATTGTGAAAATTAAAATTGAAGATCAAAAGTAAAAATATATTCTTGGATTATCTGACTGTCAGATAAAGGCATATTGGACATTTTACTGTTACTTTAATATAAAGAGAGAATCAGATATAGGGAGCAGGCCAACAAAATTTTTTAAAAAGTTTCAATTTTAGACAAGGCATTAACATGACAAAATGTCACCACCTAAAACAATTTGGTCAATTTAAAGCAAGTTGGAAAATACCTTTCAACCTTAAGAAGAACTTCTGAGAACATGTAGATGATTTTGAAAAAAAAATTAGTCAATTTGAAGCAAGTTGAAAAAAGACCTTTTTGACCTTGAGAAGGTCATTGAAGGTCAAATCTAAAGTCAGATTTGAACTTCTGAGAACTTGTAAAGTCAAATTTGAACTTCTGAAAAGATGTAGATGATTTTGAAAAAAAAAATTGGTCAATTTGAAGCAAGTTGAAAACAGACCTTTTTGACCTTTTTTGACCTTGAGAAGGTCATTAAAGGTTAAATGTCAAATCTAAAGTCAGATTTGAATTTCTGAGAACATGTAGATGATTTTGAAAAAAAAATTAGTCAATTTGAAGCAAGTTGAAAAAAATATCTTTTTTGACCTTGAGAAGGTCATTGAAGGTCAAATGTCAAATCTAAAGTCAAATCTAAAGTCATATTTGAATTTCTGAGAACATGTAGATGATTTTGAAAAAATTTAGTCAATTTGAAGCAAGATGAAAAAATACCTTTTTGACCTTTTTTGACATTGAGAAGGTCATTGAAGGTCAAATGTCAAATCTAAAGTCAGATTTGAATTTCTGAGAACATAAAGATGGTTTTGAAAAAAAAATTTAGTCAATTTGAAGCAAGTTGAAAAAAGACCTTTTTGACCTTTTTTGACTTTGAGAAGGTCATTGAAGGTCAAATGTCAAATCTTAAGTCAAATCTAAAGTCAGATTTGAATTTCTGAGAACACGTAGATGATTTTGAAAAAAAATTTAGTCAATTTGAAGCAAGTTGAAAACAGACCTTTTTTACCTTTTTTGACCTTGAGAAGGTCATTGAAGGTCAAATGTCAAATCTAAAGTCAGATTTGAAGGTCAAATGTCAAATCTAAAGTCAGATTTGAATTTCTGAGAACATGTAGATGATTTTGAAAAAAAATTTAGTCAATGTGAAGCAAGTTGAAAAAAGACCTTTTTGACCTTGAGAAGGTCATTGAAGGTCAAATGTCAAATCTAAAGTCAGATTTGAACTTCTGAGAACATGTAGATGATTTAGAAAAAAATTGAAGTCAGTCTAAACAGTATTTGTTAAGTTATAGGAAGTTGTAAGAAATTGTTACAGACGCCGGACGCCTACCTCCAACCGCCGGACGCCAACCGTCGTCGCAAAAAAACGGAGACCATAACAATATGTCACCACTTTTGGTGGTGACATAAAAATTTCTGGCTCAACTCATTCCTTCTCATGTCTATTTTCTAAAAATCCTCAAAGTGCATACTTAATTTCAGGAAAACTTAAGATTTTTACAATAATGTATTATTTTTCCATAAGAATGGTTACCATTATAGATCTGATTCTGCCTTTAATAAAAGAAAGGGAGATAGAATATCCATACATTTCAAAAATTGATTGGGCTATCCTGCCAAACAATTAACTGATTTTAGAAAAAGATTCAAAAAACTTCAAAAATGAGTATGCAACATTATTCCTGGGCCTCAGACTAGATCAGTTGCTGACAATGAATTTAAATGTCAATGTGTTTTGCAAAGCATGACTTCGGTATAATAAAAAAAACATAATTCAACACATGATGACAAAGCGACATTTAAAATAGTGAAGTTTCATGAAACAACAAATATCAATTAGCTACATGATTCATATCATGTTATCTCTAATAAGGGTGGAACTTTTGTTAATCGGATACACTTTCTGGATGGATCAGTTCTTTCTCTTTAAAAGTATTGATGGAATCTAAAGAAAGTAATTACTCAAAGGATGTTCAAATTAAATAGTTTGAGCCTTTTCTGTGTTGTCTCTAATTGGTCAGTAAGTCCAACTATGTCATTTTTAACAGGCATTTCATTTTATTTTTTTATCACAAGTACCCACCCCCCTACCACATTTGTGTCAAATGGACCAGTCCTCAGAGCATCAGTTCTCTCGTCATCTTATAGGTCACCTTCATGGATAAGTAATCCAGGACAACAACATCAACTGCGCATTTCATCAAACAGCTTTAAAAAGTTAAGGGACTTCTACGAGTAAACTGATCTAGCAGGTGGAAGGTGAAATATGTTAGGATTCATTTTGTTGTTAATAGTGGCACAAGTTGTCATATGTGATAGCCACACCCAAGAATTAGCTTGTAGAAAATATGACATCAGAGCACTTGACTTCTGGAGAAATGGAGGAGAAATTGGTGAGTTGTCTGTATTTGAACATTAGTGCATGATATCTTTATCCTTTGACATGGTTTTACAAATTTAAATTTGGTTTACAAAGTTAAACAAGGTTTTATAAAGTTGAGAATATGGTGGTATAAAGTTGAAAAATCTACTGTTAATTTTTAAGGTTACATCAACATACGTGGTAACAGTGGAGAATATCATCATGTTTTCCGTGAGATTAACAGTGCGGGGGAAGTCTGGCTCCACTTTGGAAGGCAGGGACAAGTGGACTGGAACTATATAAACTCTATCTCAAATCTCAGCCCTATTATCTTGCTACAACAGAGGCACATTGATGCAATTTCTGACTTTCACATTCTTGATTATGCCATAGATACTGATGTAGACTTCTATCTACAGGCTGACGATAGCATCAACCCGAGTCTCTTGAAAGTTTCCAGAATTTCTGACCCAGCGACGATGTTTGAGATCAAAATGGATCGAGGTGGAAATCATGCACATTTGACATTTGCGCCAGGTTATTTTGACAGAATACGATGTACAGGTGCGAGCAACAGCAACACCTGTGGCCAGTTAAACAAACCACCGAAGGATCAAAACACTGACCCAATCATTATTTGGGAAGCCAACTTTAGACCAACTGATACTGATCTTGGAGCAACAGCTATAAACTCAAACGGAGTATACTGGCATCGTAATAAGTTTACTTGGAATGGTACAAAATACATTGTGAAAATCAAAATTGAAGATCAAAAGTAAAAAAATATTCTTTGATTATCTGACTATCAATAAAGACATTGAAACATAATTTTTTGTTGTTGCTTTCATAAAAGAAAGGGAGATGAATATTCATACATTTCAATAATTGATTGAGAAATTGATTGAGAATTGATTAATTTTAGAAAAACATTCTAAACATGAAGTTTTTACAAGAAAGTTCCATTTCGGCAGAAAAAAGGTATATATGTAGTTATGCTGTAATGAAATGACTATAATATTTTCATACCTTATCTTGTACTTGACCAGTTTCCCTCTGTATGTAATGACCAGCAATTCAGCAGCCCTGTAACATAGTATTACAATATCACATAAATGAGGATCAAGTACTGACCTTTACAGCACCATAATACCTTAATATTCACTATGTTCAAATCTCATTTCAAAGTAGAAGCTTAAATTTAGAGAGAAGGGGTACTTATTACTTCACAAGAAGCTGATCCCAATCTGAAGAATGAGCTAAAAGCCAGTAAAAGCTCTATGCATTGTCATAGAGAATGATGTCATATTTGCCTCCATCCTTAACGGAAGTGAGTTGACTGGGAATTTTACAGTATGACTTTTACAGTCCTCCAACACTGCCATCTTTTTATGTATTAACATCATACGTAGTACTGACATTATGTATATATTTTCTTAACAATGTAATATTTCTGTGTCACTCACCAGTCTGTTGTTGGCTGATAATCTGTGAAGATCAATGATGCAATTGATCTACTTAGGTCTATATCAATGGATACATCCCCTTTTACTACATTCTATAATACAAAAGTGAATGAAGAGAATTCATGAAGTTAAGTTGAAGTTGTGTAGAAATATTACTTCAAAAATCTGATGCTGATTGCTGAATGACATATATACCCGTACAAATTCTATCAGATTAGAATGTCAGGTTTTTTTGATTCGACTCTAGTTTAATGAGAAATGCATATGATACTAGCCATAATATATCCATCTTTGCATTCAATGTTGACCTGAGTAAATGAAAATGATGAATTCCCACTTTCAATTTGACTTCTCATTTACTCACCCCAGGGATGACCATCAGCTTACTTCCCATCAGGTCAAAGAGTGTAACTTCTCCATAACTGTTAGCATATGCTATGATGTCATCCTGGGGGCTCCAGACGACCTTCCTCCACTGTGGCCTAGGATCCCTGGGCAGACTACAGCGTCCTAAAACACTGTTGAACTCATCTCTTGAGGATCTGAAAGACAAATATGATTTTTGAAGTATATCAATTTGTTGAAAATGATGCTGATCAAAATTTTCCTGAGACTTTTGAAGAATATCATGAAGCTAATGACGAAAATCTAGTTCCTTTTTCTGGTGTGGATCACCACAAAATTTTCCTGAGACGAAAAACTGGTTTGAACTAAAATGAATGTCTGGGAAATCTATTTTTCATTGGCTTTAATTCAAACGAGTATTTCCATCTCAGGAAAATTTTGTGATCCTTTTTCTGGTGCAACAAGACTAACCTTACTTGCCTTACTCTATACCAAACATTTTTAAGGTTATCTTATTCTATATTCTCTATCTATTAGTAACATACAGTATATACACAGAAATAGCAAGCATTATAAGTAAATACAATACATAACTGGCTCATGTATGAAACATCTCTCACATGATAACAAGTCTTTTGGAGTGAGCAAAAGCATTTCACTATAATTTGCATCTACCGTATTTTGACATATTCATATTGTTCCACTCTAAACCTTAAAAATTCAGTTGAATGAGTAGATTGGAAAAAATTATCAACTAAAAAAACAGAATTTGGGGTTATTATTTTTGCCTTAAATATGCTGATGAATACCCTCATGCCTTATACATACCTTATCTCAATAGCCTGATTCTGTAAGACAGCCACCTCTCTGCCTGTGTGGCTGACGGCAAACTGCCATTGTATGAGGTTGTTGGTGAGATGTACCAGAGTGTCATCAGGTAGTGAGGGAAGTCTCGCCTTCAGAGGACCTGACACAGCATTGATAAATGCCCAAGTCTTTGCTGGAATAAGAAGATTTTGCTTTTTTTTCAATACTCATTTTCCCAGATTTTTCTTTGTGGGTAAAGCTAAAACAGCCCACTGGATGGTTCTTTTTTTGGTTCTGGGAAACATCTCAAAATTAACATTCATGGCCCCTGGGGGTCAGGGTGAAAAACACAGAATATATTTAAAATAGATAAATGTTCTAAATATACTTTTAAAATTTCAAACAATAATATTTATTATTAAGATTTTCATGACAAAGTCCAAAATTTTTTTAAGTGGCGGCCATCTTGAAAAAATGTTTTTGCGTAAAACTACTAATATTTATCTTTCCATTAAATATGAAAGAAATCCATCCACTAGTAATTGAGTTATCTGCGGATGGACGGAGGGATGGACTGACAGATGTACAGATGGATGGATGGACAGACTGATGGATGGATGGAGGGCTTGACTATATCCCATGCATGTTCTTGTAGTCTAAACATTATAAAAATAGGTATACATTCTATGTATGTTTCACTAACCTCTAACCCCTTTAGGTATTCTCTCTCTTCCATGACTCTGAGCCTAAAATAGAATAAAATAGAAAAACAAATGTGTTAGCATCTATATAATGATGTGTAGTTAATTGCCAACTTGATTACCTGTAAAAGTGCCCCCAATATGGCCATATCTACAACAACATGCACATACAGGGTGTCCAATAAATAAGGTGAAAGATATTGTAACTTTCTTAATATTGCATCAATCTTGATGAAATTTTCAGAGTTTGTAGCCCAAACCTTTTTACCTCTATTCTGTGAATTTAAAGCGTCTTCTATTTGATTGGCCAGAGTTGTGGTTGCTATAGCAACCGAAACAACAAAAAGGCGGGGCAAGTTTGTTTACGTCACAACTTTCCAAAACATATTTATTCTTTCTGATAACTTTATTCATACTTCCAGGTCTATTATTTACTACCACAAATACAACAACATATACAATATAAAACAGTCCTAAAGTCCCATTGTTGTGCTATACATTATGTTATGCTTATTTTCATAACATAATGTCCATATCTAGCTATACACTTCTTATATGTCTTATGCCTTTTCATCCACTCTCTAAACACACTTTCAAACCCATTCTCGCACATTTCCTGAAGTCTTGCTAAGACATGTGATCTGAGTTCATCAGTGCTTCCAAACTTATTTCCTCTCAAGTCACGTTAGAGTTCTGCATATAAGTAAAAGTCATTGGGTGCAAGGTCTGGGGAATATGGAGGGTGTGCAAGTAGGGGTAGCCCCAGTGCCCTTATTGTTTCACTAGTGAGCATAGCTGTGTGCGAACTCAGATCACATGTCTTAGCAAGGCTTGAGGAAATGGGCAAGAATGGGTTTGAAAGTGTGTTTAGAGAGTGGGTGAATAGGCATAAGAAGTGTATAGCTAGAGATGGACATTATGTTGAATAGCTTATTTTCATAACAATGGGACTTTAGGGCTGTTTTTATATTGTATTCATTGTAGTAATAGACCTGGGAGTATGAATAAAGCTATCAGAAAAAATAAATATGTTTTGAAAAGTTGTGACGTAAACAAACTTGCCCCGCCTTTTTGTTGTTTCGGTTGCTATAGCAACCACAACTCTGGCCAATCAAATAGAAGACGCTTTAAATTCACAGAATAAAGGTAAAAAGGTTTGGGCTACAAACTCTGAAAATTTCATTAAGGTTGGTGCAATATTAAGAAAGTTACAATATCTTTCACCTTATTTATTGGACACCCTGTACCCTCTGTTTCCATTCATGAGGCATCTGAGATCTTGATTGAAAATTCAACTAATGAACACTTACACTGGTTACTGTCAAAGAGAACCGAATGCTTGAACAACTGAAAAATTGTTGTTCTTCATTCAAAATTCAAATTTTCAAGATATCCATCTGTTAAAATAAATTGAGATAACAGGTATCTGAGAATGACAAGACAGCCTTAAATATACAATGTAACTAGATTTGATTTATGTGGACCACATATGTGCGGATGGGAACTGCCCACCCGCACAAGCATGCCTATCACCGCAAGATGATGGCAATATAGTACTTTTTCAAGTGCAATAAAAACCAGGGTGACTGATTGAGTTGACATGTACCAGAAACCATTGGCTTCACTTGAAAGCCCACCTATAAGTGACACTACCGAGCGTGAGTGTTATTTGATTTACGAAAGGAATAAAAAAATTGTTATGCTCAAAAGAAAGCTTTAGTTTTGGCTCTACCACAAAATATGGGCAAATGATTGTCAATATGAGGCACACTGTTAGGTAGACGTGGATCCACGGCTCTACTACTTTTTTCAAGGCCTGACTGCGTCGCTAACATGCTAAATATAAGAGTTAGCTGACGTTTGGGAGTCTGACTTACCTTCTAAAGGTTAGAACCCGAATCTTAATGAAACCATATCACCTTTGTTCCGTCAACCATGGAGCATTTGCCACAACATCCAAGAGGTAAATCATGGATCAGGAATGAATGATTTCCTTGTAAGTTCCGGAAGTTTCAATACGAAAAATTACCGAACATATGTGAAAACCGAATATTTGTTCGTTGTTTTCACGATTTACAGGTTCGTTTGTTCTTCAATGTTTTGGTCTAAATTATAAAGCATCACCAACAGGTCTTACTCTATTAATCGACTAATACAGCAGACGGCTCATATTTCTACGTAGCATTTCATTCAGACCAATAGTGGGAGTGTAGATCACGCAGTTTCGTTCGTTGCGTACTTCACTTGAAATTAGATTGACTACTTCACTTAGCTTGGCGGATGTAGAACATTGCTTAATATTCTTTTAATTTTCACACCAGACATGCTTGGTTGACACGTCAACAAAGTAAAGTTCAAGGGTCAATGCGATATTTCGTGATAACTACAACGCCTTCCCGGAAGTCAACATTGATGAAAAATGAAAAAGTCAGAAAAGCATTTACGCTAATTTCTATCAAATGCTATGTTTATGCATCATCATCGACGCAACAAAGGTGATATGGTTTCATAAAGATTCGGGTTCTAACCTTTAGAAGGTAAGTCAGACTCCCAAACGTCAGCTAACTCTTATATTTAGCATGTTAGCGACGCAGTCAGGCCTTGAAAAAAGTAGTAGTGACTTATTTGACTATCGGAGTTTTGATAGGGTCACTAGAGCTCTGGAGCCATGACAAATCTCAGATGTATAAATAAAGGCCCAGAGGCGCATGAATGCACCTAACTGTTAGGCCATTACTTATTGAAAAAATCAAATAAAAAAAAATGAAAAAAATATTGAACAAATTCAATCATTTGAAATAGCATGTGGATTTAGGCCAGATTCACAGTCTTGCTGTTATATATACCGAGTCAGTTCTTAACTAAGATATATAGAAACACATACACTTTGCTCTGGTTCTTGTTGCCACTCGACGAGTATGGGTAAATCGTATAAAATGTTCTCCTGGACATTTTCTTCTTCCGCCACGTCCATTTTGTTCCTATTATCGCCCACTTCCGGAAAGACATTTCGCTTCCGGTTAGAAATTTGGTAAATCTGAAAGATGTAATTATTATAAGGAAAACTCGCATAAATCGATCATGGATTCGTCTCATTTTGTGATAAGGATACAGACAGATGATGATGAGTGTATGGATTGGACAGTTCGTGAAGAAACGGCTACATTTGACAATGTTTTAGTAAGTGTTGTAGGCTACAAATTTCGACATTTTTTGTGAAAATTTTGATATTGATTCATTTTTATTCAAATTGTTGGCTCATTCCTTTTGATTGTCCGTTGATATAGATGAAACTAGCGATGTTGACCATTGCATAAATAGAGGATATCCCCTACTCATTTGTTTGGAATTCCCTAACCAAACCCGTCTGGCCCAGTTATCTACTCTCGATATTGAGGTCGGGAGTAGATAACTGGGCCAGACAGGTTTGGATAGGAATTCCCATGTTGGGTAAGAACTCCTAACCCCTACAAATGAAATCTAAGCGACCCTGATGAAAGTGAGAGCCATTGCACAAAATATCTGTTAGTGTCATGGATTGCCGGGGAAGTCCAACTATTATTAATTCTTCTTCTTTATTAATTCTGATCTTTCTTAGATAGCCAGGACCATAAGACAAGTCAGATAAGAAACAAGGCCTCAGGCCAGGTTTAATGTTGTTGGACTAGCAGGTGTAGTGACCTTCGATATCTAGTCACTACTACAGTCTCAGCTGTAATGGCTAGTCTTTATGGCTCAGGGGTAGATTGTCTGACTCGAGAATGGAAGGTCCTGGGTTCAATTCCCGCACTGGGCATTGAATTTAGCACTCTCACTTTCGTGTCTAGTATCTGGCTCGGTATATTACAGCTCCCTGACGGACGTGCCCAAGGGTTGTTACAGTGGTGTCAGAAGTGAATCAGTTATGACAGGACGTCATCTTCTAGGGGGGATGGTGTAATGACCTTCGATAACAAGTCGCTTCTACAGTCTCAGCTATAGTAGCTGCTGCCTTTATGGTTCAGGGGTTGAACATCTGACTCGAGAGCGGAAGTTTCTGGGTTTGATATCCACATTGGGCATTGAATTTAGCACACTCCCTTTCTGGCTCGGTACATTATAGCTCCTCGATGGATGTGCCCAAGGGTCATTACACAGCTAAAATTCCCCTTTCATATCTTCATGGCTACTGCACATGTGTCTAGTATGCGTCGCACGATCTGATTGGTCGGTGACAGGTCATCTCAACCCCAAGTCAACTCAACCCAGTCAAACTCAACCCCAAGTCAACTCTACCCTGAAAAACTCAACCCCAGTAAACTCAACCCTATTCATTTTTGCGATGTCTAATTTAATTTTATGATGAGCAATCTAAAAGCCTAGTGAGAACCCTGCATACTGAATGAGTGAGTTATTAACATTTTTTGGGGTAACCTGTTTTGGCTCACCCTGTATGTATTGCAATAAAAGCTGATTATCTGATTTACTTTGGATCTGAAATTTTATTTTGTCGAATATGTTTAATCTCTAATTATGTGATTTAATTGTATGATTGCCAAAATTGAATACTTTCTTTTTTGTGTTATAGCAAGTGATCAGCAAAGCACTTCCAGATACACCTGTTTATGCTTTTGATTGTAAGTACCATTTACCTAGTACATGTACAATGTATACTGTAGATTGGGTTAATTTGGCGAATTTGGTGAAATTGAAAAATTCTCCAATATAAATCTTCGCCAAAATTTAGAATGAATCCCCGGGAATTATCTATGGTATTTTGTCCACTTCAGGTCACTTCCGGCTTAGTTTTTTCCAAAAATATGAAAAAATGTCTCTTATAAATTGGCTCAGAACTGGTCAGTCTCTCATTAATACTCAGGGAAAAACTAGAAAGGAAAAGCGCAGTATAGTAGCAGCATCGATCGAGGTGCGAAATGTAAAGGATGATCTCACAAAAATGTACAAACGTGGTGAATATCGCCAGTGGTCCTCAAAAGAAAAAACTCCTACCTTTAACTGATGAAACATCGTGAGGATGATGAAATATCTGAGGACAGTTTTACAAAAAAATAAAGAGGTCAGATTTTCGCCAAATTAAATAGCCGCCAATATGCCAAAAATGGCAAAATCGCCAAATTAAGTAGCATCAAATTAACCCAATCTACAGTATCTAATATAATGGACCAATATCTGACCCTTCAAAACAAAATTACAGCAGTGCTCTCAACAGAATTCTTTCTCAAGTGGGTGCAAAATTCACATTTTCACAATTTAGACCAAATTTGGTACAAAGATTTTCAAGTGGATGCAAATGGATTTTCAGGTGGGTGCAAGCCTGTTTTTAAAATCTCAGGCGGGTGAATTGAATTGTTCGCTCCAAAAATCAAGCCTTTTAATGTTACAGTGTTTTACCAGGGTTATGTCTGGTGATATAATTTATCATATTCTCAGCTTTATCTTCAATTTATTTTAAGTAGGGTGATTCTTTTAATGTTCTGTTAGCATAACACTTGATGTATATACATTCTTTGACCTCAGGAACCTTTAACTTTCTCCAATGACATCTCTCTTGTGATTGTACTATACTCCATTTATTTTGATACATTTTATAAATAAACTTTTTAATCAGCGTCGGGAGCTATTTGAAAAATGAAAAAATTAGATTGTATGATAGTATTTGTGAAACAATGCATGTTGTTTTTTAACTGTATATTATTTTATTATTCAATGCTTTATTGTACTAAAAATCCCTTTCGGGTGAGTGTACAGCAAATAAACATGATAAAATAAAACTAAAACTATACATACAATTACAATAACATACAATGCAAATTTTACATGGCATATAATGACAATATAATGTGATTGACTGATCATTAGATATATACCAACAACTACTATTAGCCTACACCTACATGTATATATTTATATTGATAATATAGTTGTTGATCTCTTTTCAATTATTTCATAAAGGTATTTTGCAAAGGTGATACACATGTTACCCTCAGCATTAAACATATAATTAGCCTTTTCTTCGGTAGTCAATACAGTTAGATTTGGGCATATATAATTATATGTAAATGTCTTGTAATTGATTTTGTGAGGAAACCAAGTGTTTGGTTTGAAACACAATAAAATCTTGAATCTTGAATCTTGTTATTCTGATGGATGTTGGCAAGACAATGAAGTTAAATCATTAAGAGTTAATGTTAAATTGTTGCAGATGATGATGAAGAAGACGATGATAGAATTACAGTTAGAACTCAAGAGGAAATGACAAATATGATTTCAATGGTGAGTAAAGTAAAACATGTGCACGTGGAACATGTTTGGTTCCTCTACCAAGTGTTCCACTTGGGATGTGTTCCACGTACAGAGGATTTGTGAAGTCTCTGTATATATGAAGTCTCTCTGTATATGTGAACTCTCTGTATATATGAACTCTCTCTGTATGTAATTTTTCTGTTATGTAAACTCTCTGTATATGGAAACTCTGAACTCTCTATATGTAATTGTAATTGTGAATGACATATGTGAACTTTTTGTGAACTCTCTGTATATGTGAACTCCCTGTGTATAGATGAAGTCTATGTCTAGTATATATATGTAAACTCTGTTTTTGTGAACTCTCTGAAGATATTAACACTCTGTATGTCAGATATGTGTTGTTATACTGTTCTTGAACAAGTTGTAAAAAACTGAAGTGGCTATAAACAAGAAATCTCATTTAAAACTTCACATTTACATGCTTTAAGTCCATTTATCTTTCTAAATAGTCATAATACATTTACCATATAGCTGTGAATATGGTAGATGTGTAGCTTGTATTGATATAATTCTCAATAATCATGTGCTCTGAAGTTTTTGTCTTAAATTTATAGATTCTTTATTTGTTCTGTGTTTCAGTATTACAGTTCATGCCAAAGAGGAGGCACATTCACCCAGCCATTGGTAATATATCCAAGAGTTGGAAAACAACCTGAAAAGAGAAATAAATTGAATTTAAAGGTAACATGATTTTCTCACCGCAAGTATAGCTTCATTTCCTTTTTCTCATGATTTTATGTCACCACTTATAAGTCACCACTTGTGGTGGTGACATCTTGTTATCTTCTCCAACTTTTTGTGGATGTTTTACGGCAGTTGGTGTTCATTAGTTGGTGTTTGGCGATCATCGTTCTGCATCTGTAACAAATGACAGGTGGTTGCATTTTTCACAATCTTCTGTCAACAATTCTTGGACAAACGGAAGCTCATTTATCAGTTTAAATCACGACTCCTACATTTTGCTCAATTTGGAGAAACAAGTTTTTTTCAACCTGTGAGCTCACTTAAATGTTGCCATTTTTCATTTGTGATAACTGATAAGATCAACTGTTTATTGGGTCTTTATAATAGAGCAAATGTATTTATGATTGTTTGTTTGATTTGTTTGTTGAGACATTTCAAACAATTTACACAAGTTTGACCGTTAGTTACCATGGCACATTTCAGATTCAAACCAGCAAAAAGAGTGAGCAGCAAGCTACGCCTAAAGTAACCCCTCCAGTTCAAACCAGCCAGTAAGTTAACTTCAGTTTGTCTTATAGATGCTCCTCTTTAACAGCCAACTTGTTTAATTCCCAGTTTCAAAATTGCTTGTTTTTTGTTTCCATGTTAAATAATTGTTTTCATTTGTGTTTGATATTTTATTACATTTGCATACATGAGCGGTAAAGGAACTTTACCAAATGTGAAAACTTTATGACTAAAAATGTTGTTACTGTATACTTTTATTGATTTTTTCTGAGATGATGTGTTTCATATTGATGTTTTTCTATTTTGCTGTAGTAAACAGAAGGAAGGTGATATTGAAGCTATATTAGCCTGTGGGCAGATTAATCACGGTGATCTACACATAGACCAGATCCTTGGGAATGGCAGTAGTGGAACAGTATACAAGTATGTCTCACTTTAAGTCAATAACCGATCATTTAGGGTGTTACACTCTTTGAGAAAGGGAATTTCAGAATAGAAATTGAGGAATAGAAATAAGATTTCATAACAAAATACATGTACAGTGAAATCTGTAAAGTGGAACACCTCTGTTAGTGGAACACTTCAGAGTCCAACGACCAACTGACTTAATGTTAAATGAACCTTTATAAGTAGAGCACCTCCCAAGTGGAATGTCAAAAGCATTCCACTTAGATATATTTTACTGAATCCTTATTTTGAACTATGCATTTCACAATAATGTGTTATATTTGGGAAAACTTTTTGTCATTCAATTTCTGAACATTCCACCCGTTGAATATAAATAGCAATCAGCATTCTAGACCTAACATTCTGGATTCCACAACAAATATAATGTGAGAGTAAATTACAGTTTGAACATTATTCCATCAAAAACATCAATGATCAAAATGCAGAATTTACATGCACAAAACTGAAGCAGAAAACTCCCTTTCAAAATGTGACCACTTCCAAACCTCAATTACTCAGATGCGAGAAGGTAGTTACCCGTTTTGCCACCAGGTGGCTGATTCGGGGGAAATAACATGGCAGGTATTACAAAATTCCCTTAAACTTGAATATGCATCAGTTTTAGTGGTTCACTTTTCAAATTACCCTTATGTATGTGATAGTTATACAAATTAAAATATGTCCAGTAAAACAAAATATTATCTGCCCAACACAAGAAAATATATTTCACTTTTTGTAGTTTTACAACATGGGGTCTATGGGGAATCTCCCCGACCTAGAAGTCACATTTTCAAAGAAAATTAAATTTTCAAAGTTGATAAACTTTAATGATGTAAATCAAGATTATTTCTACTCGCATCTAGGATATTGAGCATGCCTTAAGAATCCACTATCCACGTGTGATTGGATGAGGCAATGTCCTAGTTATGCATTTTTTCTGATATTTCAGAGCTGTACACCAACCAACCCGTACACCAATGGCTTTAAAGGTTATACAACTAGATATTGCAGTAGAAGTTCAGACACAGATTATATCAGAATTAGAAATTTTATATAAGGTTAGTAAACCAAACCGTAAGTTTTTTGTCTAAATCATAAAAAAATTTGGAATATTAAGACTGAGTTATTATGTCTCCGAATTCTTATGAAATTCATCTCTTAGAAAAAGTTAAGAGTGGTTCAAACCATAAAAATCAGAGAGACATTCCTCTATGAACTGAATATATGTAACTTATAAAAAATCATATAATTTATGACATATCTTTAGTGCAGCTTTCTATGAATTAGTAAACTTTCCACAGTTTCAGGGCAGTTTAATTCAATCAATGTAATTATATCAAAATATCATCCATATTTTTCAGTGTAATTCTCCATATATCATAGGATTTTATGGAGCCTATTTCATAGAAAACAAGATATCTATGTGCACAGAATGGATGGATGGTGAGTAGAAGCAATGCTAATTAAAATATCAATGGTCTTCCTTTGATATATGTTATTACAAGAAATGGTGACATATTATTATAGTCTCCAACCTTTTGTGGACTGTATTCTGCATTCAGTGGTTGGTATTTGTCAGTTGGTGTTCTGTTTGGCGTCTGTAACAAATGGCAGGTGCCTAATTATTTTTTGCATGTTAATGATGCCTTGTCTTATATTTATGAGTGTTACATTGAGAGTGAGGCTAGAGACTCCAAGATGATTATTGTCCCCTCACAATAATTTTATTCTTACATTGTAACAGCATCACACATCATGGATGTGTTTACCTTTATCTTTAGTATCAGGGATTAGAGTATTGTGTACTGACTACAACATGTTCTTTACACTGAATATGTAAAAACACTTTAGAACTTGTATTTGATGTTGATTTGAGATTCCTTTGCTTGTTTTCAAGGTGGATCTCTTGACAAATATGGCCGTGTGCCTGAGCCAGTTCTAGGACGAATTTCATTAGCTGTAGTCAGGGGTCTGCAGTATCTATGGAGTCTAAAAGTCATGCATAGAGGTATGTGAATCAGCAGTATAGAGATATTTGCACTAGTCTTTGCTAGAGTCAGATTTGAATTCCAGATAAGAACATAAAGCTGTGAAAATTCCAAAACCTATGTCTTTATAGTCTATTTTACGTGACAGTAGGTTCTACACTTACTACAATTCTAGACTAGGCTCAAAGAGCATTTTTAGCCAAGGAAACTCTATTGTTGTTACGATGTAAAGTATGAAATTATTTGTAAGAGAAAATAGACTTGAGAATTTTGAGTCTTATGATCTTGTAATCACTTTAACGATCCATGCTTTCCTGTTATAGTTTTGAATTGTTTATAGCAAATAATTATGCCATTTGGTTGTTTTATGCAAAGTGTATTGTAAAGATCATGACAAACTCAGATGTGCAATAAATATAATATCCTACACTGTTCTAGCGATTGTGTTCAACTGTAACAGTACATATTGTTTATTCCAGATGTAAAACCGTCCAATATTCTTGTAAATACAGCAGGTCATGTGAAACTGTGTGACTTCGGTGTCAGTGTCCAGTTGGTGAATTCTATTGCTAAGACATATATAGGAACAAATGCTTATATGGCCGTAAGTTTGAATTAATGCATCTCTCATATGTATTAAATGCCAGAAGGGGATTTCCCCATCCTTGTATATTCATTGTGTAACATTTGTCTTAGCCTTGCCCAAGTCGGTCTCTTTTACTTATCTTGATTTCTTTTATGACCACCGGTAATAATTCAAGATCTGGATTACTAAAAAAAAATACCGACTTGCAGATTGGTTTAGTAATTGCCAAATGTGTGGGATCTGATCAGATCGATTCATGCATTTGATTATTCAGCACACATGTGTAAAACATCAAAATGATTTTATCTGTGAAAGTTCTGTAGATACAAGTACATGTATTAAACATCAAAATGCAGTCTGCACAAGGAAATTAAATAAGATTCAACTATAATTGAGGAGGTTGTTCTAGAATTAGAATTTAGAGGGTTGCATTTTTCTGTACCACAGATTGTAGAATTTTTGTACCATAGCATTTTTCTGTACCATATAAGTTCAGAGTTAAAATGGTTATGCTTCCAGCCTGAAAGAATACAAGGCCAAGAATACAATATATTCTCTGAAGTGTGGAGCTTAGGAATATCATTATTTGAGGTAAATTATGTTTTCAAGAACATTATCTATTGACAGGTAAAATAAATAGTTATCTCTTGTTATAACATTATAAGTTACAACTTTATTAAAGTACATTTCCATTAAAGTGGCAGCAAAGATTCGGGAGTGTATATGTTGGGAGCAATTGAAAAGCATGCAAATGTTTCTGTTAAAATTTTATTTTTTAGTATCCATATTTATTAGAAGAAATTCATTAAAGCCTCAGTCACATTTGTTCGATGGCAAATGATGGCGGGTGTACGACAGCCGTAATTACACAAACTTGATATAGAAATTGTACATCATACTGCTTATCCCTATATTTTATGCTGCACATTTCTTTCAATTCTGGGAAGCTACGGCTTCCCGCCGTATGGTTGCTGTAGATCAAATGTGACTGAAGCATAAGCTGACAACATATACAAAATCCATTTCTTCCTTTTCATCTACATTCACATGCATTTTGATTATTTTCAGATGGCCATAGGAAGATTTCCATATGATACAGTAAGTAGATGCAGCATTATTTAAACAACATTTGAACAATTTTATGACTAAAATGGAACCATTAATTTTGAAATGCTGAAACAGTATCAGCCTTTACCCCTTCCATCCATAAAACTCTTTAAGGCTAAGTTGCCCATGCAGATTTAACTGTGATTAAATGTTTGCACAATTCAACAAACCAACTTGTTAATTGTATAATTCCAGGTGGTTCAACAGCAGTTAAACTCCAGTCCAATGGCACTACTCAACACAATTGTCAAAGATGCGCCACCTATCTTACCAGTTGGGCAATTCTCAGATGCCTTCATACACCTCGTATCCCAATGGTAACATTTTATACACCACAGTCTCAATGGTGACATTTTTCAAATCTCATATCTAAATGGTAACATTTATAACCTCATTCTTAATGGTAACATTTATACACAAAATTTTCTATGGTAACACTGTACATTTTGTAATTCAATGGTGACATTTTCTCTATGTTATATCTCACTGGTAACATCTATACACATCATTCTCTATGGTAACACTTGTTCAATGGCTACTTTTTTTAAATCTAATATCTCAATGTTTTTATGTCTGAAACGATTGTCTTTCCTTTCCAGTATGCAGAAAGAACCGAAATCACGTCCAAACCCGGGTGCTCTCTTACAATACCCCTTCATGGCAACATATGCAGATGACAATGTGGAAGTGATTGCTTTCTGGGTCAGAAATAAATTAGAAGAGATTTTCTTAAGACAATCCAAACAAAAATTAAGTTCATAGCATTAGCTTAATTTCAATTTTAAAGACTTGGTTGGTGATTGTTTGGGAGAATTTCAATGAGCTATTTGTTAAAAGTAGAAAGACAGATCATGTTTGTATTGGTTTCATGGATCTATCCATATACATGTACTGATAAATATAAAGTTAGAGCTAGTTTTGGATCATAATCTCAAAGAGAGAATTTCAATGAGCTCTTGCCAGTAGTATTTTAAAAGACAGATTGTGTTAGGATTGGTACCATGGATCTATCCATATACATGTATATGTACATTAAATATCAGTTTTGGATCATCATCCGTACCATTTATTTGGTTCTTTAGGGACTTGAAGTCTTGAATAGTTCAATGTTGTTTTAAAAACTTGAAAGATTAAGTTCACCTTTGAACTTAATGTTCAAAATGTTGATCTGTGACAATTGTTAGAAAAGTGAAACCTGTCATGTGTAACAGCTCTAGAACTGGAACACCTGTTAGTGGAACACTCCAAAATTCCAACACTGTCTAACTTAATGTTAAAAGAACCTTGGTCTATCAAAGAGGAACATCTCCAAAGTGCAACACTTTTGAGAGGTACCAAAGGTGTTCCACTTAGACAGGTTTATTGTATTTTCAGTATGAATATCTTAATTTAAATTCTTTTATCCCGAAACTCAGTTCACAAGTTTTTGAAACATACATGTTTTGATGGCTTTTGAAGTATGTGTGCCATATTATTAAGCAGGTCAAGTTGTGTAATATTTTGACTGTCAAAGATTGTTATTCTCTTTTATTGTAAATGACAGAATCACCATATTGTAATTTATGTCATTTTTTTGTGAAATTCTCCCATTTTAATGCTTATTTCATGTAATATCAACTTATCCTTTCACATGCCTCTATCCAGTCTATGTAAACATATCAATAATACATTGAATAAATACTGCGTAATCAAATGATTACATCACTGATTTTTATTTTGAAGAGATTAATATCAAATCTATGCCTCAGTATTGTGTTACTGAATGCTGAGAAATTTTCTTGAATTTTCATCATTCACATTGATGAAATATGTAATAATTTTTTACATTTTATATGTTTAATGGAGATATTTACATAATATCTGAATATGGTAGAATTTATTGTTCAAAAGAAATACTTCGATAAAATGTTTAAATGACATTTCCCTTTATAATTTTTTTGAAAGTTTGAAACTACCTAAAATGCTTATCCAGTCTGATGTATAGAACTTGGCCAGATATGAATGTGCCGTCTCTCAAAACCTAATTATTTCTGATTGTGTTTAGTTAAGATTTCAAAAGGAAAATTCATTTTTGAAATATATTCCTCATTGGATCATATAAAAACATTTAATTCAAGGATTATATATTCTACATCATGTTGGAAAATAATGGCTCTTTTATGTCCATTTAAGGTTAAAGCTTAATATTGTTCAGAAGCATGGACTATCTTTACAATGTACCTTCAATTTGATATGTACTTTTGGAAACTTATAAGGGTAATCCCTGAAATTCCATTCATTAATAACCTCAATTTTTCAGATTCAAAATTCAATTCAAAATGATGTGTAAGGGATGGTATCCAATTTTGAACAGTCATGGAAAAAAATTGTTAAGCTCTGACCCCCTACCCTCATGTAATGAAATTTTAAAATGTTGATTTGTCTTTCACTTGAATATAAAACGAATCAACACTATTCGCTTTCGAAACCATCATTTACCCCCCCCCCCCCCCCTTCATGAAACTTACTTCATTATTGCATAACTATTGAAAATTGGACAGCATTTTTTAAATCAATTAAGAAATTAAGATTTATATCTAAGTCTTTTGATGTTACAAATAACATATCATTTTGAATTGAATATATTTTAGGGTTATTGGGTCAGAATACACATAATGGCCCTGGTCTTTAAGCATAGCTAGTTTTATTGATGTATACACTTGTACTTGTATTCTAATATGTTTTATAGATAAAAAGAGTGCAACACTTAGTCATTTTGTTGTTCCTTGTATTATCCTATGTGCTTTGAACAAAAGAAAATAAACCATCCTTATTACTTCTTGACTGTGCTTATTCCCCGATGCTAAAAAAGAAAAGATTAACTTTTGCAGGCTGGTGACATTGCACCTTTTTAAAGAAAAGCCACTCAGTAAAATTATAATTTCTCTGCACCAAGATGTTCAATCAAGATCATTCGAGTGCCTATGTGTTCCTGACACGCTTGGGCATCCGAGAATGTTGACCACCCAAAGTTTGCACGTCATTTTAACATAAATGACTGAAATCGTGAAAACAAAAAGTTGTGTTATTCTTTCAGAATTGCTTATAACGACTATTTGCAGATTTCATAATGCAATATTTTACAATCATGTAAACAAGTAAAGTACCGGTACATCTAGTCCCTATATAAAACACTGGCCTATGTGACATGTACTAACATGATAAAACTTCTAGAATTTTTCAATATGGCATTCGCTTCTGTGTTCTTTATACCCCTCTAACTGCTAAATATTAGGCAATCTATCCTCAAATAAAACCTTAGCCATTAAGTAGGTTAGAGTCTCTGGAACACTTTTGTAAATGTTTTCACAAGCAATTTTGTTTGTGTATCTCAAATTTTGTCATCCCGATTTCAGTCATAAATTACGTCAACATAGCAGCAAACCGTGGGTAGCCATTATCATTCACAGATGCCCAGACGTCTCAGGAACACAAAGATACTCAAATGATCTTGATTGGACATCATGGTGCAGAGAAATTGTAATTTTACGGAGTGGCTCCATGACAAAATACAGAGTTTTAAGCCACCTTAATTGCATATACAGCTTCATTAATCATATATAGTTTTGTATATCATCAAAAGCATTCACTTAGTTTTTGAAACAAACCGACTGGACTTCCGAAATTGAAATTTTGAATGATTTGTGATAAGAACATGCCTAAGAGAAAATGTAATTCTTACCAGACATTTCCACACAGACCCATTCATTTCGCACATAATCAACAAGAAGGCTCCTATTTAAACTGATGATACTATGAGCATACTACAATTGTACAAAGAGATTTGGATATTTGATTTGCAAAAGTTGATTCGTAAAGTCAAGAAGTCGTAAATCAATGACGTCACAGAGAACAATGGACTTAAGGAATTTTTTACTCTACAAAGTTTCTGTTCATGGGCCCCCAGGTTAACAATTAAGTAACAAGGCATAAAATGCAATATGTCACTACCGGCCATTTGTTACAGGCACTGACCGCTAAAAACTGTCCAACTATAACAATATGTTACCACTTGTGATGGTGACATAATAAAAATAACAAATGAAAGCATAAAATAATCTTAGATTACTATCTCTATAAATAGTCATGATTTATTTGTTTCGTCTCATGTTTACAACTATACAATCAATGATACACGTCATACAGTTCAGTGGAAATTATTTGACTTTTGTATGTCAATGTTGTTCACAAAGCTGTGTCTGAATGAAATCATGTAATGTATGTACAATATTGTGATTTACATCATATGTTACTTTGGAACAAACAGGTAGACAACACATAACTTGATAGGTTACTTCTTTGGACATTTCAAAACTGATCAACCAAAAATTGATCTCAAAGTTTAAGGAATTCATTATTTATTCAATGATATGACAAACTAAAAGTGAAAGTTATAAAACATATAAATAAATAACTTCTACGATTATTGTGTTCAACTTGACAAACATCATAACATTACATATTATAATACATACAAAAAGTAACTGATTTAATACTATATGGAAGTAAAAACAACATTTTATCATGACTAACTTGGGTGCCATATATGTTTTACACCAACTTATACACTTAACCTATTAGTTGGGGTGGCTGAGTTTACTTTTAACATGTTCAAAGGCCATTGAGAAAATAAGAAGTCCATATAAAATTTCATTAATATTTTGTCAATGTATTATGAAGAGAAATGGGTTAAGTGTAGAAAGAACTGCAAAACGTTTAGACATTTTGAAGACAGTTGAGTTGAATGTTAATGCATTGAAATGGTAGTACACCTGCTCTCATGAACAATCGAGTCTTAAAATCAGAACAAGAGGCATCAACTGCCCTGCAGTTAAGTTACATTATCATTTTGATCTAACACAGGTTGTTCAATGGATTATTCTTATTCATAAAATACTGAATTTTGCTGTATATCCAATGTTAAGCATCAATTCCTCTTATGTTTTGGGGGATGAGATTGAGAAGTTGTTTTAGAGTTCCTGAATTGCTTATACCTTATCATAAATGTTACCTCTCAAGTGGTGCAATATTTGGTGTTCAAGAACACATTCAGACATTACTTCTTGTTTTATCAATCCAAACTTACATACAAGACTCTCTTTTGAAACCAATTGACTTTATTTTAAGTATTCTTTTCATCAGCCTCATGTAAGGATGCTGGATTTTATTTTGAATCAGGACATCCACTCAGTCAATGTTTCTGTTTTATGTGTAAGGTACATGAGACATATTTAATCTGTGTTTGTTTATACTATGTACAGCAGGTCCTTTAATATACTACAGTCGCACCTAGAAATTCGTTCTTCCTTATGAGCTTAGTTTCAATCCTGAAATTAGATGAAAAAACATATTGTAGTGCATGGCAAACTGTTGTATAGCCAGTGTATGGTATTATTTGGAAATTGCAAGAACTTGTGAAAATAGAATAAAACAATAATGACTAGAAAAGCAGCACAAAAAGCTTGCAGAACCCCCCAAAACATAACATTAAATTGAGACCGTGAAACAATTTCATGTTTATTTTAAAAATGATGAAATATTACAAGAATGGATATAAACAAATGTAGAAAGGGACTCCATATAACTAAAAAATGACCCCCCCCTCCATTATCAATATATAATTAAGCCAAAAACAAGTTAAAGATAGCAAATATTTTTTTAATTTGCCAAACAACACAAATAAATAGTTTAAACACAAAAAAATCTTTTTCCAAAAGGGTTTTCTGACATGTCCCTCATGCTCACTGCAACCCTGTATTCTTTTTAATGTGTATGTAAAACAGTATGAATCTAAAACGAACACAATTCATAAAAACACAGCAGAGTACAAAAAAAATATCAACATACTTCATGGAAATCATATTTCCAAATTTTCACATCGAAAACACATTGGTGAAATACAAACTACAGTAAAACCTGTCTAATCTGAACACCCATGGGACCAGCCAAAAGCGTTCAAATTGGCAGGTGTTCAAATTTCGAGGATTTTGTTGGTCGAGGGGGGGGGATTTTCATCGTTTAGTGCACCATATTGAACACTTAATACTAAGTCAGAAAACAATACATGTTGTTGATGAGTTAATTCTACAATAGGCCTATAGCTTATATGCTATGTTTTATTTATATTTTGAACAATTTCATCATTTTAGTAAAAATAACTCTTATATTTTGGCAAAAACTTTGTAATACACTGTAAAAGTATATGATAGTCTCGTACGAAATCTTATGCTTATCAAATGGCTTATCCCATATTATTGTTATATAGCACTGCTTTACTTTTGCTTGAAAAAGTCCTTCATTGTTGTTTGTTTCTTGGCACTTTTAGCATTAGCAATATTTGAGTAGATATCCTCTTCAAGTAAAAATAATTTTTCATGAGTGTTCATTCGAGATGATGTATAATCCTTCAAAATATCAAGGGCATTCAGGATGTCAGATGTATGCGAATATTACAAAGTTGGAATTTTTTCTCCTTCTCGTGATATAATCGTGTCTGCAAATGGCGTCTGTGTTGTCTTTGTGATTATAAAACATTTACTGATTGAATCTTAGCTATCATAACAGACCCATGGGATATCAAACAGTTAAGACCTGTTCATAATCCAAATCAAAAACATCCAGTTAATTTACAATAAGGATAAACCAATTATCTCCCAGACTCTCACCTTTCTCTTAATCCAAATCAAAAACATCCAGGTAATTTCCAATAATGATAAATCAATTATCTTCTTGATTCACACCTTTCTCTTAATCCAAAAATAAAACATTCAGTTCTTTTCTAATAGGATAAACCAATTAACTCCTGTATTCACACCTTTCCAAAACATCCTGTTGTTTTCCACAAATTAGGGATGTCACTGAGACTAAATAATTTAATTAGGACAATTGGTTCTTTGATTGCATTTGTATATATGTAAAGATAAATAACAACTTTAACATTGACTCAATATGTGGCTTTAATTGAAATGTCCAGACTTTGATTTCTGATAAAAATGTTCAGATTAGACAGGTCACTTTTTCAAATCTGGTTGTTCACTGTTCAAATTAGGTGGTGTTCAGATTTCAAGTTTTTTTTAACATGGGAGTCAATGGGAGGAAAAAATGGGACCGAAAAAAAGTGTTCAAATTGGAAGGTGTTCGGATTAGCCAGGTGTTCAGATATACAGGTTTTACTGTACTTTGAAATTACAATCTCACAGACTCGTTTTTAATAAAAACTTATTTATTTGTAGCAGTATTATTGCCAAGCGGTGACTAAATTATATCAACCATTGTTTAGTTGGAACAATAAGAATTAAGTCTGTAAGATTTGTAACCAAGTATGTGCAAATATGCAAGTGCTCCCACTCAATCACGTCATGTCACGAAAGCACCCACCAATGAAATACCACCACCATCACCAAAAATGGCAATATTACTGGCCAAATACTGTTCTAAAACATTTGTCTGGAAAAAATTATCATTTAATACATTAGTAAAGTCAGTTAGTTGAAATATTTTTTAAATATGGATTATTTGAAGAAAATGAGTAATCAAGATCTCAAGTTTATATAATAAAGTAGTAACATGCACAAGTGAGAGCTTTGAGTATGACCATACTCGTACCATGGTTAAACATACCAGCGGCCTGAATCTCGAATGTTTTGTAATATCAATTGCCAATTTTTCTTTAGTTTGTCATTGTCATATTTACATCCTGACAAAATTTCGAGATATGGCCTAAGAACAGTAAAAGCTGACACCAGGTGAAAACTACAATCAAACCTCAGTGGCAGTTTCTTCCGGAGGAGAATTCACATTGCTATTGCTATAGTCGTACAGTAAAAGGGAGAACAACACAATTACACAATAGATAGTAATCAATGAAAAAAGCAACATTTTTTTGACTTCAGGGAACCTTTGTGAACAAACTTTGAAACAATCGTTTTGTCTTTTTAAAATAATGCAGATATACCTGGAGACATGTTTAGAATATTTCAGACTGGCCATTTAGTTCAGTGCTGAGGCCTCCCCTGCCACACAGTATACTCTCTACATTATAGCTCAATCATTAACAGAAAGTACCAAAGCTACAATAATTGCTTATACAGTACAATCCTAAGATGTACTTTCTATATTGGGACTTCCTGTCTATGCAAGCTGCTTCAAATGATGCAATCATTTCTTATAAACAACAAATAAAAATGACAAAGCGTACATTCTGTTTTACACACTTAAGCTTCAACAGTCACAACAATAAATCATAATCAAAAAATGCTCCTAAAAACACTATGAATTAAATTATATTCGCATGCATAGCAACATAATATCTAACATACAGATCAATCTACTAAAAGACCTAAAAACTATTTTAAAACTAAAATTTCTCGATTTATGAAGCAAGCAGGAATGGGAAACCCTAGACAGATTGATAGATTGAAACCTACCTGTCAACGCCTCTTCTGCAAAATACTTTACATCAACATCTGAATCTCCCTGGAGTTGCGTCAAGCAAGGTAAAACCGCGTCCTTGAGAGCACTGTAAAAACATATTAAGTTCGTTTTTATTCAATAACATATTGGAAATATATGTATTTTCAAATTTCTGATTTATTGAACTTCATTTTAAACATCAATGCAGAAATGTATTGCATATGTATACATGTACTCAAAGATTTTCTCAACATTAGAGAAAGTGGATGCGGTACTTGGAAATCTAACTAGTAAACATAACACGAACCTTGTTCAAATTGATGAGATAGTTTGAATAAAAACTGATAAAATCACAATTTAGCATCCAGTTGAGATAAAATCCTTGCAAGATCACTGATATAATAGTAGTATACATGTAGTTGCATTATAAGTATGAAACACACAATATTTAAATTTTCTCTATATCATTATAAAAACAACAAATACAAAGATATATTAAATAGTATATTATCAATAAGATTAATGCAATTTTTACTTTTAATGTATATAGTGTTAGAAAATCTATGTACAGTATGTTATACTGCAAATGTAAATTATCAATTAACATGATTTGAAGGATTCCATTCTATTCAACTCTAATAGATATCAAAACTTACATGTAGGCTATAATTCATTATTTTGCATTAAACATTTCATAGTATTTTGAAAAAACGAGACTACAAATCACAGGTTCTTTACATGAAACTAAATATAAGCTTATGGAAAAATACATGCACAAGTGGGGAACGTTATTAGTGTTTCATTATTCAAACAAACATATATTATTATTATTGTTAGGCAGACAGTGCAAAAGTCTATGACAACATACATTCACATATGATTCAATACCTGGATCTAGAGGCCCAACCCTCAGAAATATTAGACATCTGAAAAGACCACATATGGAATGGCAAATGATTTTAAATACCCAAATCACTTTCCATGATGACTTTAACAACATTATTCATTATAAAACAAAATGTTTTCCTGAAGATAATAAAAGAATCAATCTGACAATCGAAAATAACTATGGATTTATTGTTAGGACCCCATCTCAACATGTTTTTTCAACATTTAGGGCTTACTTTCGAAAAAAGGTTCTTTATCTCACATTTTTCTCTCTCTTTCCGTCTCACAATTTTTTCTTGATACATCAGAAAGATAAGAGGAGATGATACGCTACAGTCGAATAAATACATATATCCCATAATAATTTCCTATAGGAAATGCTATCCACCGTTTTCTGCCAAATATTCAAGAGTAGAATTTCCACACCATTCTCCCTTTGAAGAAGTGTTATACCTCTTATGGTATAATCTATTAGCCTAAGCAATAATAAATAAAAAATGAACTGAAGAAGATCTGACTTTTAGAAAATAAGTTCAAGATCTTGAAGTGTCAAATATGAGATCCTAATCCTAATCCATGGTTTGTCAGAGTCAAAGTGATAATTTAATTTTCCTGGGAACATTAACATATTATTTTAATCAACAAAAAAGTTGTTGCTATGGTGAGATGAACTTATGGTCAAAGATATGACTGTTAAAAATCCCTCGCCATACCATAAGCTGTTCTTTTTGTTATTTCCTTTTAGTAAAAGATACTATTGGATACACCAAATTTCAAAGCTATTTATGATTTCAAGAAATAGGCTGCCAGGTAGTCATTCAAAATATAAGCATGTAATGTTAAACAATGTCATATATCGGGTGTCCCAAAAAAAATGAGACACTTTTTGACAAGTATTTTCTCGGCAACTGATGAACCAAATTTACTGAAAATTCGTACAAAGTAGCCCATAAATATTGCCAGTAAGTTGTAAAAACATAAAAAAAAAGATTGGGTTAATATTATGTGAGAACTAAAAAATTCAAGATAGCATGTCAAAATGTCCCATACCGGAGCATCGCAATGAGAATTTTATAGTGTTTGTACCAAAAAATGGGAAGCAATTTGACAAGTAATTTCTCAGCTATAGATGAGCCAAATTTTGGGAAAACTTTACCTGAGGCACTTTAGGGTATCATCTGCTAGTGCTACGAATTTGTAAGAGATTGGTCTCATATTATGTGTGTATTTTCTGATTAAAGACAGTGCTGTATGTCAAAATAACCAATATCAATGTAAAATTCGATTACTAATCCATTTCCAAGCAAAATTACTTTTCCGTATTTATTCTAACAATATCACCTCCAATTAATTTGGAGAATGAATCGATTTTGGATATGTGGGTAGAATGAAACGGATTAAGTAGATCTAACACATAGGCAAGCTATTTTGACTGATTAACAGTTGCTATCACCTGATAGGTGGTACAAACACTATAGCGGTCTCATCGCAGAGCTCCGGTATGGGGATTTTTGACATGCTACTTTGAATTTCCTAGTTCTCACAGAATAATTACTTGATCATTTTTATATTTTCACAATTTGCTAATGATGCTCTTAGGCTATTTGTATAAATTTTCCGTGAATTTGGTTGATCAGTTGCTGAGAAAATACTTGTCAAAAAGTGTCTCGTTTTTTTTGGGACACCCGATATATTCTATATCTACAAACTAGGGTGGTTAGTATGCTTTAGATAAGATGAAAGGGACATTTCTTACCATCACAGTATAAAAATACCAAGCAGGATATATATGATTACAAAACAGACAAAATGATATGACTGAATATGGGCAATAACCATATTTGGTGATTCGTCATGCACTGGGATGGTGTAACAAATGTTAGGGATGATTTGCTGTATATAATTTTATATTACATTATGAAATATTTCATTTCTGAATTGTGTGACAAACAAAAAAGGTCTGAACACTACTGATTCTAATATCTGAATCAAATTTAAATTGGTTTTAGTAAGCAGAAAGCAACACAATAACTCTGTAACACACAAGCCTTTTACACATATGGTATATCTTCTACATAGCTGTCCCTCTTGATACTGATGAAACGGATTTTCAGTAAAAAATACATTACAGGTTATACTGTGTAAGAGTTGGTCATTCAGGACAAGGGGTATAAAGCTGAGAAAGGCCTTTTATTAGAACTGGCCAGGATTACACATGGCTTGTAAAGTGCTTTAAGACAAATGGTAGTTTTTAGTGACAAGTGGTCTAGCGGTTTACAAAGGCACTTCTAATTGTGAGTACAACTCAATCTAAACAAGGTTAAAGCTTTAAGTACTTCTTAAAACGCATAGTGAAATTCCAGTAAATAATGGACCTGATAACAAATGATCATACGTATATAGGTGGAAATATCGGTTCTGATCAAAATGGTCAGATTGGTCACATTAAGCTAACATACTTGAAGGACAGCTATGTATATGGATTTCTGTGAAGAGTTTCAACCAGCACTATTCCCTTGTAAATGGTCTGACCTGTTGTGTGAATTATCAATCTAAGTGGCATGACTTGTGTAGGTTATCAAAGTACATGATCTGACCTGTGTGAGTTATCAATGTAAATCGTCTGACCGTACCAAATGACAATATACATGAGCGGAAATGTACCAGTTAACAAAGTACATAGTGTGACTAATGGTAACTGATACAGTACACAGTTAGACTTGTGTTAGTTGACAGTGTACAAATTCCAACCTCATGCTATTTGATACTGTAAACCTGTGCCTATGAATTATGAACATAGTCTGAGCTGGTTCAATCTATTGTGTTCAAAATGGAAATGTACATAGTCTGACCAGTGACAGCTGTTAACATAAATGGTCAAATCTGTGTCATCTGATAACATACACGATCAGACCTGTGCAAGTTGACAAAATACATGGTCAGACCTGCACTAGTTGACAATATACATGGTCAGACCTGCACTAGTTGACAATATACATGGTCAGACCTGCACTAGTTGACAATATACATGGTCAGACCTGCACTAGTTGACAATATACATGGTCAGACCTGCACTAGTTGACAATATACATGGTCAGACCTGCACTAGTTGACAATATACATGGTCAGACCTGCACTAGTTGACAATATACATGGTCAGACCTGTGCCAGTTGATGATGTACATGATCTGAGCTGTGAAGTAACACTGAACAAAGTCTGTAACTGCATGATAACAGACACACTCCAAGTGTATCTTAAAAAAGCAAAAATATTGAAAACTTTTTGTGTCTTCAATACCAAAGCCTTCATATCTTATCTTTAGAAATGCCTTCAAGTAACAAAAATTTGGAAAACTTCTATATCAAATTTTGATTCACTCTTAAACATGATTTAATGAATCATATTGCATTATCTTGGAGTGTGTGTAAGTATAACAACTAGCGAGGGCCACAGGACCACTCACCTTTGTCCAATGACATTGCCAATTTTCTGGAGAGTTTTACAGACATTAAACCTGACGTTAGCAACTGGGTCTTTAGCAAGGCTAAGGATGACGGGTAACATCAGTTTTGACGTTGCCTCTGGGCCACAGGCGGCCGCTATCACCTACAGCAGAGTATATATGGTCAGCTAGATTTACCTAGATGTTTTATCAAATAAAGGAGGCTACAATACACATCTTGCAAATTTGACCTTATTGCCAGCGATTTGAAAAATTTAATCGTATTATAATACATGTATATCACTCATTCTATGGAAAAAGTCAGACATGTTAATCATGCTGCATTGCATTTGGTTTAATTGGCCTGACAATTTGAGGGCAAAATAGAGCAAGATGCCAGTGTAGGTCACTAGATGTGTGGGGTCCTAGTTGGTGCACATGCACTCCACAACAAAAACACTCAAGATGAGAGACCACTCTAGCATACACAACATGTGAACTCTACAAGGAATTAACTTCCTATTTGTTTAAATGTAGCTTTTATCATTCTACATAGACATACTTCAGGAAGATTTATTATTGTCTTACACAGGGATCTAATGCAGCTTGGGTCAAAGTACTTGAAAAAATCATGAAAATAGTGATTTAAAACTTTGGACATTTCAGTGGAGAAAGAGTGGAGAAAGAGTTTGTGTGTTTGTGTATGCTAGGGATGGTTTAACCCCTTCATGTCCAGCCAGTTGCCTCGACAGCTGGGTGCAGCCTGGACCTAGAACCTACAAAGAAACTCTCTCACCTCTGATCTAAACCCGAACTCAATTTCTGGATAGTTTTGGCAACGTTAAACCGTACGTTGGGCACTGAATCTTTGGCTAATGACACAACAGTGGGGAGCATCAACCTTGAGTTAATTTCTGGGCCAGTTGCCTCACAAAGCATCTGCAGAATATATATATAGCACGCAGCACTGATTATAGCAAACATACAAATACAAGCAATAATAAAAACATCATTAACCAGAAAAATAGATGTCAGTGTTGTCATGTTTTTCCAAATATCAACGTCAAATCATGGGAGGGCATTGCGCCTTGGAATATAACAAATATCCTAAGACATGCAGGAAGTAGTCCTGGCATTCTGCCTTGGTATTGTTGAATAAAGATATTTTATCATTATCAAAAATATTAAATCAATAAAATGTGGACAATTTTAAGCATAAGGGGTCTTTCTTTGAGAGATTGAAACTGGAATACACATGACCACTGTACTGTTATTCCTAAAAATTAAGCAGTAAGCACAAATCCTTTTTCATATAATTAATTTGCTCTACTCCTGGTGATGCTCAAGACATGGATGGGTTTAAATAGATGGGGAGGTTGAAACATTAGAATTTAAGCACAATGTTAAGCCATATGTAAAAGGTTTAACATCTGGAGGGTTTAATTATTCAGAGAGGCTTATTAAAGCATATATGTTTATTATTTAATATCTGGGGAGGTTTAAACATTTGTAGATTTAGACATGTGGAAATGGTCTTTAAATGAAGATGATTTTCTGAATTGTAAGCCAAATATTGTATGATGGGTTTTGAAGATTGAAAGGTATTAATACATTTCAAGGTTTAATGTATACTGTATGTATAAATAGGATTCAACAAGTGAGGGGGTTTAAACAAATGAGCTGTTTTAATACACAATGAGAAGAAAATATATAATATGACAGTTTCATGAAGAAAGTTCAACGTTTAGATGTTTTATATAAAGGTTTAGGGAATGAGGATAGAGGCAGACTGAATAGAATTACAAGCTGTAATATATATAATATTGATACTCCTTTGTTTAGATAATGAGTAAATGCGGCAAATTATCACAAGTGGAGATATGTGGAAGGGGGATTAGAAAGTGAATACTTGAGGCAAGCAGAAATTTCATGAGCAAATACACTGAACACTAATTTCAAAATAAACTGCTGATAACATTAAGTGCAACACATCATGCTATAGCCAAGATCCTCCATTCAATGCATAGGATTATTAATTCAATAATTAACAATTTTTCGGAGGCCCCAATGGGGGGGTCCTATTAATTTCATCAACATTATAATCTATTCATTTATTCTTCCTTGCACTTTCTCCAACTTGTAGCTAGGTATCAGCTATCTCCAATATGCTCCTACAAGGGACATGGGTTGAACTTGGTGGAGAATTTTTTTTCATAGGTCAAGGTCAAATCTAAGTTTTTTAAGTTTCTCAAAGCGTCACATTTCAATATTTTTGCCTGAATTTTTGCATACAGATAAACATATGTATTCTATAAATGTTTAAGTTTCACCAAAAAATTAATGTCACATTTCTTAAATAAATCGGCTCCAAATTCTCAGAAGTTTGAATCTGACCTTATATTTGAGATTTGACCTTTCACTGACCTTTCAATGGTCAAAAGGTTGATTTCCCAAATTGATTATTGGGATTCGTATTTAGTTGATATAGATTACAAATACCAAGGTCTGGACTAATATCATTAAACTAGAAAACCCAGAAACTAGAAATCTGACATTTTAAAAATTTCTTGTAGAGCCCAATAACATTTAGATTAAAATTCCACATTCTAATTGGTTACCAAATAGTGCGAGGAAAGAAACAAATCTAAGCATGTATGTCTTGACTGCCATTCAGACATTATTCAAACTTTGTGTAAAGGTCTGCTTAAGTTCTGATGTACATTGATCATCAGTATGAACAGAAAATGTCAGATCCCTAAACACTTTTATTAGTACGCCTGGCATCCTGTGTCACTTCTACTTTATATTTGTACATTTCTTAATTATATTAACAAAATAAATTGGAATTGAATTAAAATTATATAAAACATAAACAAATCTATCTAGCTGGAGGACTGTAAGTCTTACATTTATACAGAAGAGTGTGGTCATCCTATGTAAGTAGTTGCTGTCTTTAGCCATTGCTAGTACTTTGGGGATGATGGTACTTTGAGCCCACTCAGTGCCAAATTTCTCGACAAGATTCTTCAGGTTCTTTGCGGCAGCCTCACGGATAGCAAACACTGGAAATATAGAACTGGAAAATAGTCACAACTTCTACAACAAAGGGTAACATTTGAAAAACAAACTCCTATAAATTATTTGGCCCTATATACAATACATGACAATGTAAACAAGGCATTAACATGACAAAATGTCACCACCTAGTTGCTCACAATATTATGAGTGCAAACTTAAGTCAGATTTGAATTTCTGAGAACTTGTAAAGTCAAATTTGAACTTCTGAAAAGATGTAGATGATTTTGAAAAAAAAATTGGGTCAATTTGAAGCAAGTTGAAAACAGACCTTTTTGACCTTTTTTGACCTTCAGAAGGTCATTAAAGGTCAAATCTAAAGTCAGATTTGAATTTCTGAGAACATGGAGATGATTTTGAAAAAAAAATTAGTCAATTTGAAGCAAGTTGAAAAAAGACCTTTTTGACCTTTTTTGACCTTGAGAAGGTCATTGAAGGTCAAATGTCAAATCTAAAGTCAAATCTAAAGTCATATTTGAATTTCTGAGAACATGTAGATGATTTTGAAAAAAGATTTAGTCAATTTGAAGCAAGATGAAAAAATACCCTTTTGACCTTTTTTGACATTGAGAAGGTCATTGAAGGTCAAATGTCAAATCTAAAGTCAGATTTGAATTTCTGAGAACATGTAGATGATTTTGAAAAAAAAATTTAGTCAATTTGAAGCAAGTTGAAAAAAGACCTTTTTGACCTTTTTTTACTTTGAGAAGGTCATTGAAGGTCAAATGTCAAATCTTAAGTCAAATCTAAAGTCAGATTTGAATTTCTGAGAACACATAGATGATTTTGAAAATTTTTTTTAGTCAATTTGAAGCAAGTTGAAAACAGACCTTTTTGACCTTTTTTGACCTTGAGAAGGTCACTGAAGGTCAAATGTCAAATCTTAAGTCAGATTTGAATTTCTGAGAACACATAGATGATTTTGAAAAAAAAATTTAGTCAATTTGAAGCAAGTTGAAAACAGACCTTTTTGACCTTTTTTGACCTTGAGAAGGTCATTAAAGGTCAAATCTAAAGTCAGATTTGAACTTCTGAGAACATGTAGATGATATTGAAAAAAAAAATTAGTCAATTTGAAGCAAGTTGAAAAAAGACCTTTTTGACCTTGAGAAGGTCATTGAAGGTCAAATGTCAAATCTAAAGTCATATTTGAATTTCTGAGAACATGTAGATGATTTTGAAAAAAAAATTTAGTCAATTTGAAGCAAGATGAAAAAATACCTTTTTGACCTTTTTTGACATTGAGAAGGTCATTGGAGGTCAAATGTCAAATCTAAAGTCAGATTTGAATTTCTGAGAACATGTAGATGATTTTGAAAAAATTTTTTAGTCAATTTGAAGCAAGTTGAAAAAAGACCTTTTTTGACTTTGAGAAGGTCATTGAAGGTCAAATGTCAAATCTTAAGTCAAATCTAAAGTCAGATTTGAATTTCTGAGAACACGTAATGATTTTGAAAAATTTTTTTTAGTCAATTTGAAGCAAGTTGAAAGCAGACCCTTTTGACCTTTTTTGACCTTGAGAAGGTTATTGAAGGTCAAATGTCAAATCTTAAGTCAAATTTTAAGTCAGATTTGAATTTCTGAGAACACGTAGAGGATTTTGAAAAAAAATTTAGTCAATTTGAAGCAAGTTGAAAACAGACCTTTTTGACCTTTTTTGACCTTGAGAATGTCAAATGTCAAATCTAAAGTCAGATTTGAAGGTCAAATGTCAAATCTAAAGTCAGATTTGAATTTCTGAGAACATGTAGATGATTTTGAAAAAAAATTTAGTCAATGTGAAGCAAGTTGAAAAAAGACCTTTTTGACCTTGAGAAGGTCATTGAAGGTCAAATGTCAAATCTAAAGTCAGATTTGAACTTCTGAGAACATGTAGATGATTTAGAAAAAAATTGAAGTCAGTCTAAACAGTATTTGTTAAGTTATAAGAAGTTGTAAGAAATTGTTACAGACGCCGGACGCCAACCTCCAACCGCCGGACGCCAACCTCCAACCACCAACCGCCGTCGCAAAAAAACAGAGACCATAACAATATGTCACCACTTTTGGTGGTGACATTTGAATTTCTGAGAACATGTAGATGATTTTGAAAAAAAATTTAGTCAATGTGAAGCAAGTTGAAAAAAGACCTTTTTGACCTTGAGAAGGTCATTGAAGGTCAAATGTCAAATCTAGTCAGATTTGAACTTCTGAGAACATGTAGATGATTTAGAAAAAATTGAAGTCCGTCTAAACAGTATTTGTTAAGTTATAGGAAGTTGTAAGAAATTGTTACAGACGCCGGACGCCAACCTCCAACTGCCGGACGCCAACCTCCAACCGCCGTCGCAAAAAAACGGAGACCATAACAATATGTCACCACTTTTGGTGGTGACATAATAAACTAATTAATCATTCCTTGATAAAAATGAAATTTTGTACTTCTCATGAAGTACTCATATAACAACGAAAATCATATTCTAGTCAATAAGCGCTATTAGTGCAAATGAATTAATATTTATCCTAAGTGGGAGTCAGAAAGGAAAGAAGATAATCATCTGATTAACAAAGTCTAAACTTCTGTTTTTGAATAATTGAATTAGCAGAACCTGTCACAGTCAGTTGAGTGCATTAGTCAGAGGGTTCCAATGGTTGGTATATAGAGGAATAACCAGGGAGGTCTCTTTAAAATGAAACCAGATATTGGGAGTGAATCAGATGAAGTAAAAAAAACTTTTTAAAATCATATGATAAATCATGAAAACATCTTGTGATCTTTGGCTGGTATCCAGAGGGATGACCAGGGATGTGTTTATTATAATGAAATCAGATATTGAAAAATCAAATCATAAACTTTTTAAATCATATGCGTCCTATCACAGACACATCTCGTGGTCTTGAATGCTCCATTTATCAATATATTGAGAAGCAGCTTTATTTCTGGCAGTTGCCAATTGAGCTGAAAGTTGAATAACTCATAAAACAAAATAGAAGAGAGATCATAAACATGAATAGTATACACATACTACTGATATTAGCTGGTATGGTGGTTTTGTCCAAGAGCCAGATGACAACATCAACCACAATGGCTCAGTGCATAAAGTACACAACCCCAGATAGCATGAGATCAATCTGCCACAATGGCAATTCTCAGATTCAGGAAAAGATGCAGAGGAAAGATGAAGAAATAGCTGCGTTGAAAGAAGATGCAGCTGCACTGAAGGAAAACATAACTGCACACATAGCTGCATTGAAGGAAAACACAGCTGTATTACATGAAAATGCACAAAAAGAAAAACTTGAAATAGCTGCAATGAAGGAAAATGCACGCGAACAAGCACACAGAATCGTTGAATTAATGGAAAATTCACAAGAAGTTATCGCTTATTTGAGTGCAGAAATCAAGAATCTAACCTCAAACTGCAGCCAAGTAAGCCATTTTTGTAAATTCTTCTCATCAACTTTGTCAAATAAAAATTCTCATCATCAGATAAAGTTCTCCAGATCAACTAGGTCGGCTAAAACAGTGCTTTTGCGATTTTAAGGGAACCATATTGACAGCTATCATACATTTGAAACAGTTGCATTCATTTTGTTTTAATAGGTCAAGAAGGGTGACCCTGGCCCTCCTGGTATCATTGGTATGCCTGGTCAGAAAGGTAACACTGGTATGCCTGGATTAAATGGAACACATGGTGACATTGGCCCTCGGGGTCCGAAAGGTGATACTGGATTGATTGGAATACCTGGCATTAAAGGTGACATTGGCCCTAGGGGTACGAAAGGTGATACTGGAATGACTGGAATACCTGGTGATAAGGGTGACATTGGCCCTGGTGGTCCAAAAGGTAACAATGGCCCTAGTGGTCCAAAAGGTAACATTGGCCCTAGTGGTCCAAAAGGTAACAGTGGCCCAAGTGGTCCAAAAGGTAACATTGGCCCAATTGGATCAAAAGGTGACATTGGCCCTATTGGTCCAAAAGGTAACATTGGCCCTGGTGGTCCAAAAGGTGACATTGGTCCTGGTGGTCCAAAAGGTAACAATGGCCCTAGTGGTCCAAAAGGTAACACTGGCCCAATTGGACCAAAAGGTGATATTGGCCCTAGTGGTCCAAAGGGTAACATTGGACCAATTGGACCAAAAGGTGATAATGGTGTTCCTGGACAAAATGGATTGGATGGTATTCCAGGTACTAAAGGCCAAATGGGTACTGGTAGGGATGGGTTACCTGGTACTAAGGGTGATATAGGCCCTAGAGGTCAGAAAGGTGCTATCGGACCCAGAGGATTGCCAGGATTTGACGGACTACCGGGCATTAATGGGACACCAGGTGCAAAGGGAGACCAGGGTTTAAGGGGAATACAAGGAATCCCTGGTCTCCCAGGTATTAAGGGGGCAACAGGTTTAAGAGGAGCACCTGGTTTGAGAGGAGCCAAAGGTATGAAGGGATTGCCTGGAAGTAGAGGAACTCCTGGGAGGACAGGTTACACTGGACAAAAAGGCCAGAAGGGGGAAAAGGGACAAAGACCATGGGGTTAGGCTAAAAACATATAATGAATCCTTCAATACTATCAGGAATGTTCATTATAACACAAACACATGTTAATGAGAAAAAACAAACTTGTACAGACATTTCAAAAACAGAAAAACTAATTTCAGTGATTAATTAAATGCCTTTCAACTTACCATGATCCACAAGCCATGACATACAGAGAGAGTTGAGCTTCTCATCAAAGAATGCCACCCCTAGTTGGCCAGCTAACAGGGGCATATACTCAATAATAGCTAGTCGCACTCGCCATTTTGAATCTTCAGCTAACTCTATTATAGCAGGCAGTAAACTTTGAGATAATTGGTGTATTCCTATAACCTGCAAATACAATATTTTTGGTATGTGCATTTAAAGCATGAAAAGCAATCTATAGCAGTATTAACAGAAAAGGAGAAATATCACTCATACATGATAATAAACAGTGTACAATATAAATCCCAATATAGCTTTAAAAGTATTTTTGTTCTATACAATCGCATTATTGTTGTATCTATGAATAGAATCGCTGTATCTATGAATAGAATGAGGTTTGTATCCAAAATCCATTGATAACAATTTAAGAGTGAGTTGTTTGATGTTGCATGGAGATGTTGCATGAACTTCCAGTAAGAATACATTTCATCCTTACAATTATAAATTTCTCTAGATAGTTCCGTCTTTAATTGAAAAGACTATCAATATCAAGTGTTGTATTATAAAAATCCATTTATATACTACCCATAATTAGCAAAATGGGAAAATTTTCAATTCATATATTTTCATTGGTGCCATTGACTTACCATGGAGATATCATCACCCTTGCTGAAATCCTCATTATATCAGAACATTGGCATGGGTCTTACCCAGTAAAATTATGTTAAGGGTATATGTTTTATCAATTCTAATTTACTAGAATAGGGGTTTTTAAATAGGAGACTTCACTTGGTTACCTCCATTTTCAGTGGAATTAAATCATAGGCTTATTTGTTAAAGACCATCCTCCTAAGCAGGTGTTAAGAATCCATACCTCCTTCTTTCCCCCTGCTATAACCAAATTAGAAGCGCCCGATAAAACTGAATCACGTGATATAATTATGCGTCGATGACGTATACATGATTGCTGTTGCAATGTTGCGACAGCGAATCAAATTGCGAGTTCTTAATCGGGAAAATGCTAACTGCTTATCGCAGGGGGTAAAAAGAAAGAAGTATTCTGGATTTTGAAGCCCTGTGATTGGAGGATGGAAAAAGACCATTGGGTGGTTTAGTGCTTCTTGCATACCTTCTTACCTTATGCCATTTGCAAACTTTGTGTGAAATATTAAAAGATGGCAGCCAACTTAAAATGAGCACTGCATTTTTAAATGACAAATTTTGAATATAAAATGTCTTGCTAAATGTGGATAGTTTGAAAAAAGTTAGAACTACAATATCAAGAGAGAAATGGGGTCGCATGGAACATTCCTTATAATTTTATTACACAATACATTATACAACCCACTGAATATCATGCCATCTATTGATGTTTCATTTGAATTTGTGACAACAGGCAAAACTATTACAAACACCTAGAGCAAAATTATTAGAAATTATAAATTTTGACACAGAAATGGGCAAATGCTAAAAACAAGAGAAAACGTGTTGCTGAGCGCCAAAATTATTACTATTAATCTTAACTTACTTGATTTACACAGTCTAAGTTGGATATAATATTCAGCCTAACATCTGGAAATTCGTCTTTCAGTTGTGTTAAAAATAAAGGTAGTAAGTGTTCAATAGTGCTGAAAATAAAATATTCAAAAACTAAATAACAACATTTCTACAAATACCTCATCATTTTGGATGATAGAAATAACCAGGAAATAATAGAGAAATTTTGGCTCCTTTTGACAAAAATACACCCATTTGCGTGAGTTGGCAATACTTGAAAGGATGAGTCATGTCTGAAAAACCAACTCAATCACACATTGGATTGGATGGAGGGGGGGCATAACGTGTATACAAGACATGATAAGACATGCAACTTGAATTTATTTATGACTCCAAATTTTCCCATTTTTCATTCTCCAGAGATATAATATCCAGTTTCTTACTTGGGTACTGAGTTTAGTTTTTCCAAAAACAGGAGTTCTTGTGAATTTGTTCCATCTAAAGACATATAAATCCCCCCTCCATCCATTATTATTTATTTCGATTATTTTTTATATAACGCATGGAAACTAACTTTAAAAGTGAGCAATGTCATTAGTATTGTGATAATAACGTCCCTTGTACCTATCTATTACAGGTCGTGTAGACCATTGTTGCCTGATTTATAGCAAAAACATTGACTTTTGCACGTTGGTGATGATGCACCTTTTTTAATAGATCTCATATCTTAGAAGGGTATCGGTTCAAAAAAAATACTAGATGACCTAACATATTTTGCCATGCACTGCGCCTATTCATTTGGCAATTCAGTTGTAAATTTTCTCTTGAAAAAATAAATCTTCCAAATTTGTAATGTTGAGTTTTCTTGCAGAAATTGCCTAATCCCCCCCCCTCCATCAATTTTGTATGATCACTGGGCTTGATAACGACTATTTGTATTTTGTTGTGATAATTATTTCAACTCTCAGCAGGGTGTTGATTAAGCATCAAAACTCAGGAAAAAGTGCATTTACTCACCAAATATAACTAGGACAGTAATAAAAAGCATATTTCACGAATATTTTAGTGAGGGACAAGAAAGGGGCAAATATCCTGACTCATCCTTTCAACAAAATGTCACTACATTTTACTTCTAGATGGTGACATTTGATAAGGAAGGATTGGGTCTGTGAGCCTCTCAGTGTGATTTGAATTAAAAGAATGAAATTAAATAATTAGAAGCTCCCTTAACTTTCACTATAACAGAAAAGAACAATTTTCAACTTACTTATCTTTTCCTAACATTGGGGATATTCCCATTATGACTGATGCAAGTGCAGATTTAACATGTTGATTAGGGTCAACTACTAGATCCTTTACACAAGGTAGCACATTTGTCATGATAGCTTGTTCCCTTACATCAGGTGATAACTTTTCACAAAATTCTGAAACAAAATATCTTGGTTATTAATTCTATGTGACATACTTTTATAGAAAAAAGGGTATACATTTACTCTTTACACCTTAAGTATTTTTAAAATTCAACAAGGAACATGACATAAATGAAATCATATCATATTATATAAAGTAGACACCCAAAACTTAATAATGAACTGTATTAATTGGTAACAGGTCAACTGGTACCCAAGACAAGTCGTACCCAAGACAACTGGTACCCAAGACAACTCGTACCCAAGTATATATTTTGTTTTAAATCAAACGTTGGACTGGGAATGTAAATAGATATACATATTATAATTGTTACATACTGTACAGAATAGTTTAAAGTTTGAAGAAGCATTTTCGGAAGAAATTGATTTAATTTTGTGACATTTTGAGCTTTGAGTGTCAATTTATTTGGACTATTATTTTATATTGGTCAAAGATTCAGGATGTTTGAGTGAAGAGACCTATGTTTATTCCACATATTTATAATCATTTTTCAAAATGTTTATGAGTGTTTAGAACAAGTGTCAGATCTAATTCATGTTGAAAGGTGGTATTATTATAAATGTATAGATTTATCAAATCTTGGGCCTTATTTCTTATTTAACAGATAATCTATTTGTCTAGGATTTCATATCATCAGAAGTCACATTCATGATATTTAGCAATAAAATATTTTGAATAATATAATATATATATAATAATATATAATATCAATATCAAATATTATTTTGGTACTTATTCATACATGATACAATACATTTTGTACACATGTGCTCAAACATAATCCAATTTAGTTCCAAGTAGAACAAGGCACAGGACGTGAACGAGATCACACCATCAAATAGGCAGACACTATGAACCAGGAAAACTGTTCTCCTATTACGTTTACAAATTTCAAGAACAAGAAAACAAGATGGCCGCCCAAAAGTTGACAAGATGACAAGATTTTTCGAAAAACCTTCAAAGTGGCCACTAGAAAACAAGATGGCCGCCCAAAAGTGAATCAGCTCTAGTACTTGATATCCTCTATCATGTGTGTAAATTTGAAGGAAATCCGATGAGCGGATTTTCTGAAATGGGGATGACAAGATTTTTCGAAAAATCTTCAAAATGGCTGCCAGAAAACAAGATGGCCGCCCAAAAGTTAATCAGCTCTAGTACTTGATATCCTCTATCATTTGTGTAAAGGATGAGTCTGGGAATGAGTCTGGGTATCGACTTAGAAAATATTAAAAATTGTAATGTCTGAAAAACCAACTCAATCACACATATTATTAAACTTCAATATCTTATCCTTCTTCTGAGATTACTAAAATATCAATTTGTATCACAATTGATGAAGAATATTGGCATCAAAGACAGTGCATATCACTTTATCAGAATTGAAAAAAAATCAATGGCAAATATTAAATGAATTATTTATACAAAAAGTTTGAAACATATCCTCCAAAACATTGCTTATTTTCTTTGTATAGACATTGAATGGTATTTCTGGATAAGTGAATTTGTGTTTATCTGGGTAATCAAGGGATTATAGTCACTCAAAGTTACTGAGCATCCAGTTTTGAGACTTCAATTGTGTTGGTGAAGTTACACATATTTCAGTCAAATTCATGCTGAGCACAGCATTTTGGTTTCAATTTTATAATCCCTATACATGACCCTGGTGATGAAGAGTCAGATTCAGTCAAAAAACCCAAACCGGAAAACTGTGCTCATTGTGAAAACTAAAAGTGAAGCAACTTTTTTTCTGATATTTCTTACATCAAATGGCAGCCATCTTGTTTTTCCCCCTTCAAATTAAACTGGCGGGAAATTCAAAAATTTGAAAAAAAATGTAATCCTTAAATATATTTCAAAAATATGATTTTCTTTATAATTCTTCATGGGTCTTAAGTTATTTCTTTTTTGTATGTCATACATGTTGCCATTGGTGGTTTTTTTCTATGATATTGACTATTTTTTGTTTGTTAGGCTACATATTCTGACTCTCAGCAGGGGGCTAATTATGCATCAAAACGCGTGAAAAAGTAAATATACTTATCAAATATAACTAGGACAGTAATAAAAACCATATTTCACATACATTTGACTGAGGGACCAAAAGGGCATATACCCAGACACATCCTTTGAACGAAATCCAATGAGCGGTTTTCCTGAAATGGCGATGACAAGGTTTTTCGAAAAACCTTCAAAATGGCCACCAGAAAACAAGATGGCCACCCAAAAGGTAATCAGCTCTAGTACTTCATATGCTCTATCATCTCTGCGAATTTGGAGAAAATCTGATGAGCAGTTTTCCTTAAACGGCGATGACAAAAAGCGGGACGATCACGACCACGATCAGTATGACGACTATATCCCACCGATGGTGTGATAAAAAAATTAACAGATTAAACTTCCTTTAAACTTTCTCTAAATGCACAAAATTAATTGTTTGATTCATTTGTAGAAAAGTTACAATTGTAATTATATTTATTTACAAAAAAATGTTGAGAGAGCTCTTCAAGTACTTCTTTTATTTTATATAAAAAAGGTGATTCAAGTTAAATCAAAATGCTTTACTCAATCCATTGAGAAAAAAAAATGTCTTCTAAATTCAAAACTAGACAGCAGCAACGCCAAAGCGTAGCAAATCCCATCGAACAGCCATAGCTGGCATTTTTACAAAAAACAAAGTATATACCAAAAATGGCAGCCATTTTTCAAAATGGCCGCCTTCTACCAAAAGTGTCATTAGACAGTGTGCCATGCTTATAGTATTCACATACCAAATATGAACAAAATCACTCCAATACTTTTTGAGTTGCAGCAAAAATCGTAAAATAACGAGTAAAGGCCGCCATTTTTCAAGATGGCTGCCATGTGCTTCTTTAATCATAAATGGATACATTTCTAGCTTTATCAATGTCCTACATAATTTTTCTACATTTAAAACATATTGCTATTTTTAACATGAAAACATGATGATACAAACTCAATTTGTTTTCCTAATATGCACCCATAATACTGAAAATAAACTTTTTTTTTTTTTTTTTATAATTTTTTTATTTCAAAGAATAAGCATGTTAAAGCAATTGCAAAAAACAATTACAGTACAGTTACATGGTAAACCTACATTTAACAATTTTACAATACAGTACAGTGGTTAAATATTTCGTCTTAAGAGATGGGTACAAGTTGTGTTGGGTACCAGTTGTCTTGGGTACGACTTGTCTTGGGTACGAGTTGACTAGGAAGCGTAACTAATTGGTATAGCTTCTTTGTGCACAAATTTTAAGAAAATTCAACAAGTGCTTTTCCTGAACATGCGAAGACAAGATTATTTGAAAAACTTCTAAAATAGCTGAAAGAAAGTAAGATTTTCCTTAGATTACTTAAGATGGTTAGAAATATTTGAAGTTCTCTGTATTTTTTCAATCCAATGAGAGCCTATTATACCTTTAACTTTATGTGCGGATGCAGCCCTCACTTCAGCTTCACAATCTTTGAGAAGACTTTCGAAAGCAGGGACAAGATCGTTTTTAGTTATTTCAGGACCAACTGCATTTTGTAACTAAAATCAAACAAATAAATTAGAGCTCTGGAGGAAACAATTGGAATCTGACATAAACAAAATGAAATGGAACAAAATTTCGTTGATATAAGTGTTTTATTCAGTTTGTTTAATAAATTGTTTCTAGTTTCATCATGGTTACTTCTTTTTCATCGAGTGAAGTGTGAAAAACATTTTGACCAGTTTAATTATCAGAATAAGAGAAATATGAATTCATAACACAGAAAAACAATATCACTTCTTGTGTGTATATTGCATGAATCTTACCTCTGTGAATTTATCTGCAACCATGTATCTTACTCTCCATGACTTGTCTGCAACAGCATTTCTTAAAGCGGGCATAATTAGGGTTTCTGTGTCTTCTGAAGGGAGTAGAGATGCAATACTGACACATGCCTCGACTGCTAGCAATCTAACAGAGTCCTACAAAGATATTAAGATATTTTCTTTGATTAAAACAGTATTAACTTGAAAACATTAAGTTCAAAGAATAGCAAATCTCGCAGAACAAAACAATGTTACATGTTTTGATAAATAGTGGCAATCTTGAAAATTTCTTCTTGAACAGACCTTTTTTGGCCCTAGATATCACCATATAAAATTTGAACCAAATCTGTCTAATGGTATTTGAGTTAAAAAAGATGTTATTTTAGGAAAAATGGTGGCCATTTTGGATTCAGCTGTCATCTCAAAGATTTTTCTCAAGCAGGGCTTCCCTGTGTCCTTAAGCATCTTCATATAAAATTAAAACTAAATCCGTCCACTGGTATTTGAGTTATCAAAGATTGTGTTTGTAAGATGTTACGTTTTTTTATGAAAATTGGTGGCTATTTTGAATTGACCTGCCATATTGAAAGTTCCTTTTCAAGCAGAGGTCCAACACCAAGAAGGCATAAGCCTATAAAATTGGAATCAAATCCGTCAAATAATATTTACTTCATTAATTTTAAATTTCAATATCAAATGTACAGAAATAATCTATTAATCTTTCAAATATAGGGTAAGAGCCATTAAGAAAGTTGTTAAGTTATAGACTGACTCACCTGTTCATCTTGTGAAAGGGTTTTAAAGAGAGGTATGATATCAGACTTTAACTGTTCCATCTCAGCTACTTTTGCAAACTCTCCCAGCTTTCCTGCTGCAGCTCTTCGCACCATTGGAGTATCATCTCCACAGAGTGTACGGAATTGCCTGCAATATGCAGTTTTCAAGTTGTTCATTTAATATATTGTCAACAAGGGTATTTTAATTTTTATTTATAAAAAGACAATTTATTTCATCATAAAAAATATATCATACACAATGGCTTGCCAATCACCTCTATGGCACTACAGGCCAAGCTGAACTACTGTAGATTGGGTTAATTTGGCACCCGCTTTAATTTGGCAAATTTGGCGAAATTGAAAAATTGGCCAATATAAATCTTCGCCAAAATTTAGAATGAATCCCTGGGAATTATCTATGGTATTTCGTCCAGTGTATTCAGGTCACTTCCGGTTTAGTTTTTTCCAAAAATATGAAAAAATGTCTCTCATAAATTGGCTCAGAACTGGTCAGTCACTCATTAATACTCAGGGAAAAACTAGAAAGGAAAAGCACGGTAAAGTAGAAGCATCGATCGAGGTGCAAAATGTAAAGGACGATCTCACAAAAATGTACAAACGTGGTGAATATCGCCAGTGGTCCTCAAGAGAAAAAACTCCTACCTTCAACTGATGAAACATCGTGAGGATGATGAAATATCTGAGGACAGTTTGACAAAAAAAACAAAGCGGTCAGATTTTCGCCAAATTAAATAGCCGCCAATATGCCAAAAATGGCAAAATCGCCAAATTAAGTAGCGCCAAATTAACCCAATCTACAGTATTTTTAAATCAAACAACTGATAATTTTGTCTGCCTGGGTATGGGGGAAAATAATGCACACAAAGCATGTACAATTATTTTCACTTACTGCCTCAATTCAGCTTGTACAGAGGGTGACACTCTAGCGTAGCACACAGAGAACAAGCCACATGCTGATGTCCTAGACGTAAACCAATCCCCCTGGGCAAGTTTTTTCACTATTCCTACGAGATGCTGTTCAAGATCTTGTTTTGAGTGTAGATCAGCAATCTTACGTAGAGACTCTACTGCTTTGTCACGTACAACTGTCTCCTCTACGGTGGCTAAGCTTTCCAATGGTGGCTAAAAATTCATTGGTTTCATATAAAGGAAAGTGCACAATTAAAAGTACTCTACTCTGTAATAAAAATTAAGCTTTCTCCAACTGGAAAACTGAAGTGGTATATGATTTTTAATCATGATCTTAATTCTTTACAGTCAGTTAAATTATTATTAACATTAAAATATCTCACCAGAAGACAGTGTACAAACTCAGGTCCTCCCACTAAGGGTGTGAATGTGCCCAATTGCTCAGCAAGGGCCAAAAGAACCTCATCCTCATCATATATAGCATCTGAAATCAAACAAATAACACTTATTATACCCTGTTGCAAACCTTTTACACCCAGCCAAAATGGTAAAATATTTAGTTAGTTTGCCCAGAACAGGTAAATTAGGATTTAGAACCATGTTGTTTACACTTTTCCAAAATGGTGAAATACCTCAAGATAGTTAGCCTAGAACAGGTTAATTGGATTTAAGAACCACTTTAACAAAAATTCTAGAGAGAACACTGTGCAGATTTACATTCTGCTTTACTCGCCTGTGAGAAATGGTATAAGTTCATTTCTAGTCCTTTCCACACCAAGTGCCAGTGCTATTGTTGACAATTTTTTGACACTGTTCAAACGTAGCTGAAAATAAAAATGACAAATTATATCTCTTATACATTTTGATCTAAATTCAGCTATTAAATAGTAGAGGGAATCAGATCTAGTTTCAATTTTAGAATATTTCTGGCTCATGTCATTCCTTGTCATGTCTATTTTCTAAAAATCCCCAAAATGCACACTTTATCTCAGGAAAACTAAGGATTTTTACAACAATGTATAATTTTTATTTTATTTGGAAGAATTTAAACTTTTTCACCCATTTTTGCACTTTGAATCCGTAATAACTTCATCAATTTATAATGTTTCGTGAATCTTTTTAGAGATATTGTATTTGACATTGTAAGGGATAGATTAGTAGTGGTAGGTCAACTGTACATGTTGCTTGTAATTTTGTCACCCCTAAATATCTGATTCTGCCTTTAATAACAATTCAATCGATTTAATAACAATTCAATTTCAAATTTCTATCTTTTTAATAAAATAAAATTTTGACTTGTCAGCTTATGTATTAGTCTATATGAGTCGCTTTCAAATTCAAAATTAGTTTCTCAGTTTTCTGCAAATTCCTTTTGCACCTCTTGGCTCTGGTATAATTTTAAACTAATGGTTTAACTCATTGGAGTTGGGGCAGACAATAACCAAACCAGTGTGTCCAAGTTCTCTACTCCCTGAATCTGAAATGTTGTAGATCTGGGCCAAACAATGTCCAATAGAAAAACAGGTGTATTTACTTCAGAAGAAACATGTCACTAGTGCTGCAAGCACCATAGGTGCGGTGAGATAAACTGCATGGTCCAGGGACCAGGTTATGCACGTTAATCTAATTCTGAGATGTAATGATTGGCCGATCAGCTTGTATTCATGTGCCAGCAACTTGTGTCAGTATGTGATTAATCTACTCATTGTTTTATTATGGCAGCTACATTCGTGATTGCTGATTGGTCTGACATCTTGAAAAGGTCCCTCCACTTTGCTGTCATTAATCTTGATCTAAAAATCTTGATTGAAATTGCTTCGACATTATACTTATAGAGCGAAGGATTTACGATAATTAAGAACTCAAGAATTACAATTTCAACTGTATAAATGAAACAGGAAAGAAGTGGGCTGGTCAAATAAAGGGTAGGTCTCCAACTAACATCATAATTTTAACATTCATGAGGACAGAATTCCGCGACAATCTATTCAATGGTATGCGAGATGTCCCTAGTAGGACTAGGGACATCTTGAAGTCTAGTTTTGGATGATATGGATTATGTGTTATTTTATACTTCTTGCACACTGAGATGAAATGATTACTATAGAATTTATTGCGGGAAATGCAAGTCATCTAACATAGAGTCCATTTTACTGCTTCATTTCGTCAGTAGAACGGCAAAAATAAGAAATTGGGAGACCATTGTGCAATAATATATGGAAAAGTATATTCATAATGTACATGAATGACATTTGTATATTTCAGATTTTTTAGTTTTTTGTGCAATAAGCCTGTGCCGTCTTGTAATTTGAAGAATTTCAGCCATGTTAATCTTATTGAAAATAACATGGCAGAGAAACATCCAAATATAAGAGGCCACACACTTTATAAGCCAAACTAGAAGCAATCTAAGATATACAAATGTCATTCATGTACATTATGAATATACTTTTCCATATATTATTGCACAATGGTCTCCCAATTTCTTATTTTTGCCGTTCTACTGACGAAATGAAGCAGTGAAATGGACTTTAAACGAGAAATAACAACACTGAGACAAATTTATGTCGAAGCCCGGTTTGGACCTCTAAAAAAAATAAGATCTAAAATCTGAATGATGAGTCAGTTCTGAAGAGTGATTAAGGTTTGCCGCATGTGATTTTTGCCATAAACCACAACATATTAAATATCTGAAATACGAAATTAATAAGGAAATAATTTACCATTTTCTGAAAAAAATTCCCAATGATTTTTTTCGTTGCTCGGGAATTTTTTTCAAAATATTCCAAAGAAAATCAAAATATCTAATGTTAATAGTCTTTTTGAGCCTTCAAATTGGCACATTAGATAGAATATATATGGTCCTTAATGCTTACTTGAACATCTTCGTTTCTAAGCTCATCAATAAGCACTGCAATGGGATAAAGTGAGTCGTCGGAACTGTCAGTATTAGCCGCCATCTTTATTTTTCAGAAATAATTGGGGTTTCCAATTTAAAATCAGGGGATATAGCCTCAAAGCAAACAGTTCGAAAAACGTCAACAAAGTTTTGTCTCTGAGACTGTAAACGTGAACATAAAAGTAAGAAATGATCTCTCTCATCACATTTTACTAAATATTGGCGTAATAATCTTTTAATAAGTAATCTTACTTAGTGGATGTACTTCATACAGTATACATGCTCTGTTTGAAGTGATAGGAAGAATAAATTTCTGTTCATCTGAAAGAAAATGATCATTTTTGTGTGGGCCCCGGTGGTTTTTTATTTTTTATCTTACCTTAGAGTCTATTTCACTGGTTAATTGCACGGACCTCTGCCAGATTACCTCTTCTTCAGTGGTGTCTAGGCTCAATATATGAACTCAAGGGCAAGACAGAAGATCTTCGGAAAATTTATTTTCCTTGATTTTGGAGTCAGTTTATCAATAAATATCACATGTCATACCTCAAACGATGCATACTGTTACCTTCAACTCCAATCACTAAAGCCACACATCCAAAAAAAGCGTCTGTTGATAAAAGCGCTAAAAGCGAGCGTATATTTAATGGAGTGCTCCGGCTATTTCCGTTGTTCAAATGTTTATTCCCAAAGTCAATTGCCTTTTCTGAGAATGTGATGCTACTCCGGATGACGTCACATCAGAGATTACCAAGAAGTCCCATGATGTTTCTTTAAACTCCTGTAGAAACAATAACAACGGTTTGTTAGGCTACGCGATTATTTACTTTCATTGGCTTTCATACAGTGGTGAACAAATGGGGCAAATCTTATATATAAATACTCACGATAAATGTGTCATTATGAGGATTGTTCTTTAAATCGCTTCGATTGTCGCCGACAATATTATTTTCGGAAGGTTTCTACATTTAGAACGTGACGTCACTATTGAATTAGAACGTTCAATATTAGTAGCGTAAATACTCCAATACCCGATAACGTTTAGTTTAGTTCAGTTTAGTTACCTCCCGTTCGAAGAGCTCTCATGTATGGTACAACTTCGTCTACATCCGGGTTCTTTCCCATTGGATTACACAGGGGTGCAATTTTCAATGCCACACTGCGACTCTATTAAACATTTATGTAGAGTTGCATTTGCACAAATGATAGGTATGTATGTAATTAAGATATATAACAAGGCTTTTTGAACTGTAATCCCCAAATCCTAAGGCATCTGTAGTTGAAAATGCCGTCCAATTCCAGTAACATCACTGATTTCCCAGAAATTGCTCAGACGCCATCGAAGATCGAAAAAATATAAATAATGTTACTTTGAATCTCCAATTATCTTTCTGATTATTGAATAAAATGGATCATATAACTATGCTTGAGAGCTGATGGAAGATCAGAAGCTGGAAACGTTCAGAGTAATCAGCTCGTTCGATGGGCCAATTGAAATTTGTCCTTTCCAACATGTCCAAAGCGATGCATCATGGGAGATATTTATGTAAATTACCACCTGAACTCCTATCATGAATAGGACTTTTACTCCCTAGGTTTCATACATTGGTGTAATGCTCACCGGGGCGCAGACGGCAGTAGTTCGAATCCTACTTGGGAATTTTATTTTTGTTTTTTAAAGCTGCCTTTTTTGAAAAAATGCAATCTTGGATTGTTTTGGGGTCCAGAGTGATATTTTGAGCTATAATGAGAGAATATATAATAATAAACAATTGGGGGAAATGCTGTAGAAAAAAACTCATGATAAAGGTGTTATTATGGTGATTGGTCCTTCTATTGCTCAGATGATCGGCAGGCCATTTGATTTTTCGAAGATTTCTAAATTTAGAATGTCACTTTACTAGCTAATTAGAAGTTTAGATAAGATCCATTAAATTACCCCCGCTTATAAGTGATGTCGGGGTAGTACACTGGTAGAACGCTCACCTAGAACGCAGACGCCCCTGGTTCGAATCCCTGCTTGATTTTTTTTTCTAATTATATAATTGGCTTTGATTTTACGCTTAAAAACATTTATAAATATGTCAACTTTATATTAAAACATTTATTATCTTTTTAGTTGTATTAAAATGTAAAAATAATATATGTCAGCTTATTGCCTTTTCGAGAACAGTCAAGGTTTAAAGAAATGGTGAATGCTTTGCAACATTAACCAATGTTGACAATTTAGACAAAGTCAAGGCTTACTAATACCAGGTCTGGTTTTGACAAAATAAGTTTATAGACATATTCTTGACTTAAGATAAGGATAGGTGTGTTCTGTTTGAAAAATGAGAGTTAAACATGCTGACTAGTAACTATAGTTAGCCAGAAAATCATGTGTAAATCATAGATCTATTAGACTATATAAAATTATTGAAAATACTGTAACTGAAATATAATTTACAGTTTAGCCTTTATGGAAACTTTGAAATCAAGTTAAAAGTATGTCTATCAAATTCAACATTTTTACCCCTTATCCTTGTCATTGAGAGTTGAATGGTTAAAATGATGATTTTTCCATGAATTTGAAAGCATAATTATTTAATGGTCATATTATAAACTGGATTAAAGGATTCATATAGGCTAGTTCTGATCAAGATAAAATCTGTATAGTTTCATTGTAAAAGTTATATTCGGAACTATATTGCTATAGTTTAATCAGTTGTTATCTTGAAATATGTATGAGCCTACTTCACTAAATCAGTTGAGATGTGTAAAGATAAGACAATGTGACCCTTAATGATACTATATTTGATAAATGGTTAATCAATGCTGTCATAATTTACTACACGTCCTGTCAATCAAGTGCAAAGTATGAGGCCACTCAGGTTAATGGTAGAGCACAAATTGACAAAAAAAGATAATAAACTAAAAAATGCCATGGCGGTTTTGGGATTAACCAGTTGGCATTGATTTTATAAACAGACGATAATGAGCCTATGTATGTTTAAAAATAAACAAGCAAATATCAACTTTTATAAAAGGCTCCAAGAGAATCAAGGCCATGAAATATGAAGTCCCTTTCAAAATAATCCTTTCCTAGCAAAAATTTAACTTAAAATTTTATTATGCTTTTTTAATGATAAATTTTTCCAGATATTTATAATTCCTGAATTTGAATTGTAAGTACATGAAGTAGTCATTAGGCTACTCATATCATATATGTGAGAAAATGCACATGAGTGTATACATGTACAAAATATGTAGACAGTCAAGGTTATATTTTTACCTCATAAAAAGTAGACATATCAAACTGTTTTTTTATATTTATAGTCCAGCTTCTTGGTGTGTAGTTATTAAGCAGTAGCAGTAAGAACTTCTGAAAACTAAAAGTCAAGAAATGTCGGAAAAACAACGCCAACCTAGTGGAGACAGGAAGTGGGTGCGGCCAGACCTTCCCAGTAAATGCACGTATAAAGTTGGCATGTGCCCTGAGGATTCCCCACATACACGACGAGAGAGGTAAATATATGGTTTTTGTAATTTCCCCCAAATATATTTTCGGGTAAAGAATATTGTTAATTGTAAAATGCTTATTTAGAGGATCAATTTTGTTTTTTTTAAATTAACAGAAGGACCTAATTTTTTTTTTTTTTATCTTTAACACTGAACAGAGATACATATTTATCCATTAAGTAAATAGATACGATGTAGACTTTATCAATAATCTGGAAAATATTAATCCTGAAGTTCTAGTTCTATGTGTACATAACTATTACTTTCTTTCAGGAAACCTAAGCCAGCAATTATGCCAAATATTCTATCTAATATTGGAAATACACCTCTAGTCAGACTCAGCAACTTATCAAAAAGTTATGGAATTAAATGTGAATTATGTAAGTACAAATACGGTATATTGTTCATTATGTCTCTATTCCAACTGGTGACATATTGTTATAGTCTCCAACCTTTTTGTGACGGTGATTGGTGTTGGGAATTCCACGTTTAGCATCAGTTACAAATGGCAGGTGGTGAAATTTGGTAGTTAATGGCTTGTTCATGTACTTGTTATGTACATTCATGTTTACTAATGAATTATGTTTGTATGATCATGTTCACTTTTGCGATTGTGTATGTAAAATCATGTTCACTATGCATGTACATGTATGACTGTATGATCATTAAGGAATAAATAATGATAGGCCATTCAATATGGTGAAATTCAGCATGAGTTGAACAGAATGTGGCACAAAGCATAAACCGAAGATGAGTGCATTTGGACGACATTCTGTTCAAAGAGTGTGGAATTTCACCATATTGAATGGCCTATCATTATTCATTCCAATTCTAACATTAAAATTGAAGTTTAACTTGTGATTCTCTCGTCAAAATGTGTCCGTGGCAATCTCCAGGCAGAGACCTAAATGTAACGTCAAATTCAATACAGATTCCCAGATGTGCATAATGCAAGGTTTTGCATGTATGGAGAATTAGAGAATGGTTTTGCTGCATTCTGATTGATTGAGAAATTCAATTAAAGCATATAGTTATGTTTGAATGTGCAATAATGAATTATGTGTGTATATTTGTGCAATCACATTTACTAATGTATTGTATTTGTACTATTACGTTCAGTGACATCCTTGTATATGTATGTGTATGTACTCATGTCTTTCTATTTGCTCAACCATGTTCAGTTATATATTCTTTGATATGATGATGTTCAAGTGGCAAAATGCCTGTTCAGTTATATATTCTTTTATGTGATGATGTTCCAGTGGCAAATTGCCTGTTCAGTTATATATTCTTTGATGTGATGATGTTCTAGTGGCAAAATGCCTGTTCAGTTATATATTCTTTGATGTGATGATGTTCCAGTGGCAAATTGCCTGTTCAGTTATATATTCTTTGATGTGATGATGTTCCAGTGGCAAAATGCCTGTTCAGTTATATATTCTTTGATGTGATGATGTTCCAGTGGCAAAATGCCTGTTCAGTTATATATTCTTTGATGTGATGATGTTCCAGTGGCAAATTGCCTGTTCAGTTATATATTCTTTGATGTGATGATGTTCCAGTGGCAAAATGCCTGTTCAGTTATATATTCTTTTATGTGATGATGTTCCAGTGGCAAAATGCCTGTTCAGTTATATATTCTTTGATGTGATGATGTTCCAGTGGCAAAATGCCTGTTCAGTTATATATTCTTTGATGTGATGATGTTCCAGTGGCAAAATGCCTGTTCAGTTATATATTCTTTGATGTGATGATGTTCAAGTGGCAAAATGCATGTTCAGTTATATATTCTTTGATGTGATGATGTTCCAGTGGCAAAATGCATGTTCAGTTATATATTCTTTGATGTGATGATGTTCCAGTGGCAAAATGCCTGTTCAGTTATATATTCTTTGATGTGATGATGTTCCAGTGGCAAAATGCCTGTTCAGTTATATATTCTTTGATGTGATGATGTTCAAGTGGCAAAATGCATGTTCAGTTATATATTCTTTGATGTGATGATGTTCCAGTGGCAAAATGCCTGTTCAGTTATATATTCTTTGATGTGATGATGTTCCAGTGGCAAAATGCCTGTTCAATTATATATTCTTTGATGTGATGATGTTCAAGTGGCAAAATGCATGTTCAGTTATATATTCTTTGATGTGATGATGTTCCAGTGGCAAAATGCCTGTTCAGTTATATATTCTTTGATGTGATGATGTTCAAGTGGCAAAATGCATGTTCAGTTATATATTCTTTGATGTGATGATGTCCCAGTGGCAAAATACCTGTTCAGTTATATATTCTTTGATGTGATGATGTTCCAGTGGCAAAATGCCTGTTCAGTTATATATTCTTTGATGTGATGATGTTCAAGTGGCAAAATGCATGTTCAGTTATATATTCTTTGATGTGATGATGTTCCAGTGGCAAAATGCCTGTTCAGTTATATATTCTTTGATGTGATGATGTTCCAGTGGCAAAATGCCTGTTCAGTTATATATTCTTTGATGTGATGATGTTCCAGTGGCAAAATGCGAGTTCTTCAATGCTGGAGGGAGTGTGAAGGATCGTATAGGACTGCGTATGATAGAAGATGCTGAGGAGTCAGGAACACTCAAGAAAGGAGATGTTTTAATTGAACCTACATCAGGAAACACAGGTAGATTTTTGTTTAGCTTTAGGCGTGCTTGTGGTCTTGCGGTCAGAATCGCGAAAAAAGCATGAATGTCACTTTTCTAGTGTTCACTGTTGTGATAAGGCAATACATATTTAAGGCTCTCAAGCTGTTTGTATGAGGGAATCTATAAGTATCACTATGTGTATTGACTGATATAGAGATATAGGTACTCATCCTTTAAAATCACTAGTTTCTAGCCAATTCTTGAATTGACGATCTTGCACATGTACTCATACAAGAACCTCTATTTCTTTTTCTATTTGAAAAAAGTTTAGGACATCAAATTATCCAACTTTAACTTGTATTATCTTGAGAATTCCAAGGGTGTCTTTAACACAAGTATTCTCCATATTTATTAGGAATTGGTCTGGCATTGGCAGCAGCTGTAAAAGGATACCGCTGTATAATTGTTATGCCTGAGAAAATGAGCATGGAAAAGGTATGTATTATGTAAATGAGAAAATGCTTTAGAAGTAATGTAAAATGCCCATACAGTATTTTCATCTTAAATGTAGTAGAAATGATAGTGACGAGTTTAGAGAAATTTGTTAATTCATGAGAAAATAAACAGGAACTTGAGTGAATATATGTAGCACATTTATATCCATCAGTAGACTGAATATGGCCCTTAGGTAAGATATGCTTATTTTCTCCAGGATACACCCCATATCCAAAACCTCCAATAACACAATCTTTGTAGATTTCATGACTGATTTATATATAGTACATGTACTATCAAAACATATGATACTTGTGAATTTTACAAGTACTGAAAGTTAATTATTGTTTTTAAGTTTTGGAGGTGTGTGTTGTTGTTCAAGGACACATTATCAGCTGTGTTTAACAAGCAATTAGATCTCATACATGTTCTAGTGTTGATTTTGATAAGAAACAACTTCCCCTTGGGTGTGTTATTGTGCAATAGTGCAATAATTCCAGGGATCATTTCAAGATTAACAATGCTGCTCAACCAATGGAGTTACAGAGCATTAAACGGGAGCATTTCAAAATTCAGTTGAATGATAAATAAAGCTTTATAAACAGTATTCATATGGAGTTAAATGACAACCAGTTTTTAACAGAACGGAAGAAATGTTCATTGGTTATGCATCATTCACTGAATATGCTTTACATTAAGCATTTCATAAACAAGTTATTAATTCTCAGACATTATTTTTTTTATAACGAGCCTTATCTTATGATTGTAAGTGTGCACTTGGTTATGAGTTCATGTCTAAGTAGGACGATGACTGATTAACACATAAGTGCAACCACTTGAGGAAATAATTTGTGTCACCTTGAACCTTGTTTTACCCCAGAATATGATACACAAATTTCTAAATTCAGAAAAAACTTTTTTCAGTTTCATGGTTGGTTTGAGGTATATCTATCACATCGATGAAATGATTAATAACGCTGCATGTATTTAGATGTCTCACTGGTCTATAAAGATGTTTTGGCTTGTACCTTTTAGCACAATCCTCATCTGTATATTCCACACCATTAGTTACTTGTGGTTAGACCCAGTAATTCCAAACCATGTAAGTCGTAAGACATGTACACTGGTATTATGGGTCGTCATTATGATTTGCAAAGAGAAAGCTATTCTTTATTGATAGGTTGATGTATTGAGGGCACTAGGGGCTGAGATTGTACGCACCCCAACTAGTGCAAGCTTTGACTCCCCTGAATCTCACATAGGCGTGGCCCATAGACTCCTCCAGGAGATCCCTAACTCCCACATTCTAGACCAGGTAAGGAAACAAGCATGAGTTCTCTTAAATGGCTAAGATAAAATGTAAGTCTGTGGATAGATTCCAAGCCTTGCCTTATTTGTGTTTAATTTTTTGTTTTTTCATGAAAACTTTCATGCGAATCATTACAGACGATTATTTGTCCTTTTATTTTACATTATTTATTTGTTATATACTATAATTCATGTACATTTTTATTGTTGGCACTAGGTGCCCATAATACTTCAAAGGCTGACAAGTTTGCCTCAGTCTTACTCTGAATCAGAGCTTTTTTCAATATTATGTAATACATAACTCATAATTGTTTTTGTTGACAATTTTAATTGTTTGTTTCAGTACCGCAATGCAAGTAATCCACTGGCTCATTATGATGGCACAGCAGAAGAAATACTAGAGGCTTGTGACAGTAAGACTGCTTTTTTACTTAAAATTATATTCTTCATTAAGATCATCTCATATATGTTATTGTGTTCAGCTAGCCGATAACTTAAATATCTGTTCTCAGATTGGTTCTAATTTTGAAGCCTGATGACATATTGGAATAGTACCTCTGTTTATAAAGGAGTTTTCTTGCAAGGTAGATATTGTCTTGTGTAACTGTTAAATGCATCGCAGACAAGATGGATACTGTGTTTGGTAATGTGTAATTGTTCTTTGTATTGCAGATAAGGTAGATATTGTCTGCCCGCTAATGTGTGTTTCATTGCATTGAATATAAGGTTGATATTGATTGCCCCTTAATGTATAATTCTTCATTGCATTGTAAACAAGGTTGATATTGTCTGCCCCCTCATGTGTAATTCTTCATTGCATTACGATAAGGGGGATATTGTCTGCTCATGTGTATTTCAATTCATTGCAGACAATGTTCATATTGTCTGCTCATGTGTATTTCAATTCATTGCAGACAAGGTAGATCTTGTGGAAGTAGGGGCTGGAACGGGAAGAACCATTATATCATTGCATTGCAGATAAGGCTGATATTGTCTGCCCCCTCATGTGTAACTCTTCATTGCATTGTAGACAAGGTTGATATTGTCTGCCCCCTCATGTGTAATTCTTCATTGCATTGTAGACAAGGTTGATATTGTCTGCCCCGGGTGCCCCCTCATGTGTATTTCAATTCATTGCAGACAAGGTTGATATTGTCTGCTCATGTGTAATTCTTCATTGCAGACAAGGTTGATATTGTCTGCCCCTTCATGTGTAATTCTTCATTGCAGACAAGGTTGATATTGTCTGCCCCCCATGTGTAATTCTTCATTGCATAATTGTAGACAATAGAGGTGTCAAGTATTAACCGGTTAACCGGTTAACCGCCGATAATGCCTTGACCGGTCTGAGTTTTTATGGGCGGTTAGTTGACCGTGTATAATTCTGTCATTTCCCGCGCTTATTTTGCATGCTAATCCGTTTGGTTTTATGGTGTCAGTTTCACGTAAGCTACTCATACATGTCATAAGTCCCATAACTCCTTACAAACATCCAATCAGCAACTTTAATCCCTGCCACATTGCTTTCCCGCGCTTACTTTGCATTTTAATCTGTTTGTTTTCAAGCATCAGTTTCATGTGAGCTACTCATACATGTGATAGGTCCGATAATTCCTTACAAACATCCAATCAGCAACTTCAATCCCTGCCACATTGCTTTCCCGCGCTTACTTACATAGAATAGCATAAAGCTTGACGAACGTAAAAAATAAACGCCGATATATCATTTTTTCCAATTTTTTTCAACTTTCAAGATCGAAGATGAAGATTTCATTTGAAATTATAAGTTCAAATTTCCCGCCGGTTAACCGACTTTAACCGGTAAAAACCCCCGGTTAAACGGTTAATGCTCAAGCGGTTAATTGACACCACTAGTAGACAAGGTTGATATTGTCTGCCCCCTCATGTGTATTTCAATTCATTGCAGACAAGGTAGATATTGTCTGCCCCCTCATGTGTATTTCATTGCATTGCAGACAAGGTTAATATTGTCTGCTCATGTGTATTTCAATTCATTGCAGACAAGGTAGATCTTGTGGTAGTAGGAGCAGGAACTGGGGGGACCATAACTGGTATTGCCAGAAAGTTCAAGGAAAAATGCCCATCATGCAGAGTAAGTGTAAATATGCAGAGTAAGTGTAAATATGCAAATTAGTGTAAATATGCAAAGTAAGTGTAAATATGCAAATTAGTGTAAATATGCAAAGTAATTGTAAATATAAAAATTAGTGTAAATATGCAAAGTAAGTGTAAATATGCAAAGTAAATGTCAAGATAGTGAATAAATGTAAACTTGCTGAATAGTGTTATAAAGCGTCAATATACAGTTGTAGAATAAAAAAATGCAGCTTAAGTGTAATTATGAAATATATAAGTTTATTATGCACTATACTGAAATCTGATTGGTTCTAAACTGACCAGAAACTTAATTACGTGTAATCACTTTTTGGGAGGGAATTTAAAGTCCATTACATTTTATTTATGTACACATTTTTTAAGAAGAAGTTTTTTAGGTTATACTTGTTTAATTCAATACTTCATATTATCTTTCAGGACTTTTTGAAATATAAACCTGATAGTGGTCAGATAACGTTCCATATTAATATGTTTCAGGTAATAGGAGTAGATCCAGAAGGGTCTATTATCGCTCGCCCCGAGAGCTTGAACAAAACGGATGTGACATTTTACGAAGTGGAAGGAGTCGGATATGATTTCATACCAACAGTTTGCGATCTTGAGGTATTCAATATTTACCTGTTTAGATGTGAAATTAATCAAATTAATATGAACACGCTGAAATCAACTTATTGAATGGTTGCAATTGTATTCTTCGCAGTTCTGATTAATCCTACTTCATACAAAGTAGGCCGCCAGTTGTTATGGTTACATGGGTAGTATGTCATTGAGTCACATCCAGATGGTAGATTTTCCTGGTCAAAGTCTGAAATAATTCAAATCCGCACTTGGCTTCCAACTGGCTGATTAAATGTTATAGTTCCATCGGGCACATGATCCAAAAATGATTGCCTTGGCTTTACTGAGTCTTAATATTAGTCAAATAAAAAGGTCTTCCTTTATCAGCCAATTCCATTGATAAACAATATGTATAGATTATATGCATTATGATATGATTATATATGCATTTCAGCATGTCGATCAATGGTATAAGTCAAATGACCAAGAATCACTGTTAATGTCCAGAAAGATGATCAAGGAAGAGGGGCTATTGTGTGGTATGTACTTTAAATGAATTAAAACATTTGATTGAATATCTAGATCTGGTGGATATTTTTAAACACCATGGGTATACATGTATCTCTAAAGGTAAGGATGCAAAATCCAGGATTGATTGGTATGAACTTTACATCAGATTTCAGGGTGCTAAATATGAACAATATTTTAAAATTGAACTGAGTCTTTAAAAATCCATTAACCCTGAATGGACTGTTTTTCCTATTATGATATATAAGGCAGGGATGGGCTTTGTATGAGAATGATATTTTCTTATCTTATTTATTTTTAAAACTGACACTCTCGGCTTTCCAATAGTGTATTGTAACCTTAGTGCAAATGAGGTCATTTATTTGATCCAAGTTTGCACTACTATCACCAGTTTTCAGATTTACACACTCTAATTCTATGTGAAACCATGTGTTGACATTTTTGTTATATAATGCTTTGTTTTTAGGTGGTTCAAGCGGGGCAAACATGTCTTGCGCTATACGGGCTATCAAGGAGGCGGGACTCAAGGAAGGTCAACGTTGCGTCGTGATCATGCCTGACTCTGTTAGAAATTACATGTGAGTATTAAACTGTGAAGGTCTCAGTTAATACCAAGAAAAATAAAGAAATGAGGAAATCATACGCAGAAAAAGTAATTTTATTTTAGAAACGTTTGATTTTCAGTAACAAAGTTGCCATGCAACAGATACATTGTCAACTCAATTCCTGAAACAAGGGTCAAGAAGAATGCTGTTAACTTTCTAGGAAAGTAGACCACGTCCCCTTAACCTCTTGAATACCCAGAGTGACGGATATATCCGTCACAAATGAAATAAGACTGGTGCCCAGAGGGACGAGAAAATCTGTCACAAAATTTTTCGCAAAAATTGCTCTCATTTGAACAATTTTCATCCAATTTACACAAAAATTGTTTTAAAACGTGTAGAAATGATCTCTGCCGTCCAATTTTACTTAGCTGAGCATCTAAAGTTGTATAGGTATGTAATAAAATGTCAAAAGGTGGCAAAAAATGAAAAATTCTCTGGTTTCATGCCAATTTTAGAGCCTGGGACTCAAGAGGTTAATCAGGATATTTATTCTTCCCCTGATTGATCTAGTAACTCAATTAAGAGAGAGAAATGGTCCAAATAACTGCTGCCTAGCAACTTTAAGCTCTTCATTGATTTAATGAATTTCATGTGTTCTGTCCTAAAATCATAGAGTAAACTTAAGATTGTAATTTGTTTTGGAAGAACATTTGTCATTGTTAATTATGAAATTCTTTTCCTTGATAGGACAAAGTTTCTAAGCGAAGATTGGATGAGGGAGAGGGGTTTTATTGAAACAGATGCAGACCTTAACACTGCTCAAACCTGGTAGGTACATGTATTATTACAAAATTAGAGCATTTATTTGAAGTCGTTCAAATTTAAATTAAACAAATATGATTGAGAACCAATTTTGCATGAAGGATCATTTTGTAGCGCAAGCAAATCTATAAATCTTCCAAGCTTGCCAAATCTTTAAGAGTATATCTGAGCCTTGATGTCTTGAAAATTAAATATTGCCCTTTGTAGCCAAGTCCCAAAGAGATCAGTTGAACCCATAGAACAACATTAACTAAAGAGGCCTTATGAATCCAGCTATCGCAAAACTTGATTGCAAAAAAAGATGAAAAAAGTATTCATTTGGAATGAATATTTTTGTATGTTTTAGGTGGTGGAATTTAAAAGTAAGCGCACTGAATCTGAATGCTCCATTGACAGTGTTTCCCCACATATCAATACAGGAAGTTCAGCATCTACTGCACACAGAGGGCTTTGATCAGGTGCCAGTTGTTGATGAAACAGGGTATGTATCCAGTGGAGACGATAACCCCATTTAACGTGAAGTACGGCAATCGCCATGTTGCACGACAATTGACGTGAAATTATGAAGCATAAGTGCGCATGTCAATAGATAATAACGGCAATTGCCGTCATGTCCGTCAAGTGACGTGCAATATTTTGCACGACAATTGACGTGCAAACTATTATCTTGAAAAAGTTTCACATATTATCGGCAGGACAACAGGCAGTAATAAACTTTGAAACTAGTGGGTAAATCATGATCTGCATCGTATGTAATAGTTAAAATCATAAACATTTGCTATTTTCCGGGTTGCGTTTTGAACTAACAACTATTATGATGTGCTTACGTCAATGTTTACAAGAAATATTTATTCAACAGCAAACCGGAAGTAAACAAATGACGTGAAGAAAACTAATAAATTCTGATCTAATGAGGATATGAATTTAAATTTTTTATAATTCATTTAAGGTAATCATTATATCATTGTAAAGAAGGTTTAAAAACTAAATCAAGCCAGGGAAAAAACGAAAAAATCAACAACACGCTGCGGTCAGGAAAACACTTCCGGTCAAAACGAAGAGGGAAAGTAGACCCCATTTTAGTGATTTCCGGCGGTCTTTTCTCAGAATTGGGGCTCACGTTATGTTCAGAGATTAAAAAACTATTGGGTCAGTACCAATTTCGTCGTATAACCTGTCGGAAAGACGATGTCTAGACAATTGAAGGAGTATTAGTAATTCCAATATGGCGTTTTTCTGGGATTCGTGAGAGGTATACTTTGATTAGTTCTAGCGCAAAATTCCCACATAGGATCGTGAATTCCTACATACAAGTGCTAGATTAGATAAAATACTTGAAGAAAATGCAATAAAAAGCGTTCCATCGATCGATTTAGACTTTCCAAGAATGCAATTTCGGTGGTGACTTCATTGGTTCGTAACATTTACAGAAAATTCACAAGATTGAACGGCATTTTCTCCACAATTTTGAAATGAAATACATCCGCGGCATTTAATATATCATCAATGTTTACCTAAGTATACGTACTATAAAAGAAATATTACTTAGATTGTATATATATTAAACACTGGGTCTTCTAATCAACCTGGTGTTTCAAATTATGAATTACAATGGACATTATGCTTATTGGCGTGATTAACGTCAATTGACGTGCAAAATGGCAATCTCCGTGTTACACGTTAGATGGGGTTATCGTCTCCACTGGTATCGAGTACTTTTGGTTTGGACATCCTTTTGATTATCAGATTACACTTTTCATGGCGAAAAATATTTGTTTGACCAAGACTTGATTCCGACAAATGGTTAATTGTGAAAAAACATTCCTAGTGATGTATCGAGTACATTTTGTATTGGACATCCTTTTGATTATCAGATTACAATTATCATGGCGAAAAATATTTGTTTGACCAAGACTTGATTCCGACAAATGGTTAATTGTGAAAAAACATTCCTAGTGATGTATTGAGTACATTTTGTATTGGACATCCTTTTGATTATCAGATCACACTTATCATGGCGAAAAATATTTGTTTGACCAAGACTTGATTCCGACAAATGGTTAATTGTGAAAAAACATTCCTAGTGATGTATCGAGTACATTTTGTATTGGACATCCTTTTGATTATCAGATTACAATTATCATGGCGAAAAATATTTGTTTGACCAAGACTTGATTCCGACAAATGGTTAATTGTGAAAAAACATTCCTAGTGATGTATCGAGTACATTTTGTATTGGACATCCTTTTGATTATCAGATTACAATTATCATGGCGAAAAATATTTGTTTGACCAAGACTTGATTCCGACAAATGGTTAATTGTGAAAAAACATTCCTAGTGATGTATCATAATTGTTTTTATTATGTCACCGCCAGAAGTGGTGACATATTGTTATTGTCTCCAACTTTTTGTGAACAGTGCATTTGGAGTTTCACATCTGTAACAAATGGCAGGTGGTGACATCTTGCATGTTAATGCCTTCCTGTATTTGCTGTCAGTTTTAATATATAAAATATGCTCTCATGTTGCAGTAAAGTGCTGGGCATGGCCACAGTGGGTCACATGATGTCTCAGCTTACCAAGGGAAAGGCAAAAGCTACTGACCCAGTACTGAAAATTATTTATAAACAATTTAAACAAGTGAGTTCTGAATTTTCTTTGGTTGTTCTAATGTAAAATATGTGTAGAAATGCTGCATACTTCCATCTTGTATTTTATGGTGCCCCCCCCCCCCTTAATCATATTGGATTGATATTGAAAATGAACCCTCTAATTGTAAATGATTGTTCCTTTCATTACATACTGAATCAGCTTTTACAGACTGAGCATGCAAAAACACTTGGTGGAGATGACATGAGTGCTCAGTATGCAAATAACAAAGCAAATAGTCATTATTATCACACTTTTTAAAGTGCTATATTGTTGACATCTTGAGCAAATGGATGTGCATCCGTCTTTATGCTGTCCATCTCACTGTGTCTGTCCATCCATCTGTCTGGTTGGGGGGTGCCACATAAATCTTGTCATGAAAATTCCAGGTGAACCACTTATCAGTTCAACTCTTTTTTAAATTCAGTTGAACTTGAAATTTTTACTTATCCAAGAGCTAGTGCCAACATCTGATAAGAGTTTGTGAATGCTGGATACACTACATGGTTGCCAATTTTAAGTTGAATGAAGAAGCAGTTATCCTGGAATATTGATGACAAGAATTTTCACTGTAAAATAGCACAAATTCAATTAAAAATGACTGTTGTTATTTGCACTTGATGCTCATAAAATTGCACAGGGTGTTTTCGTAGAATCAGTCTGCTTAGTAGTAGGTGAGAATTGGCAAATTGTTTTTAACCAATTTGAGTAAATCACATTTAGAAAAGAGCTAACCTACAATTGAATATTGTATCATTTTTCAGGTCCATTTAAACTGTACATTGGGCAACCTGTCCAGAATGTTAGATACTGATCATTATGTACTGGTAGTCCATGACCAAAGACAATGTAAGTGAATCTTTCAACCATTCTTTTTCAACCTTTGATTCAACCTTCTTTTCTGAACATATTGGTTAATGAATTACATTAATTAAAGCAAAAATCCGTAAGATGAATGCATCTCATTGATATTACACAAGAAAAAGTGTTATCCACCTGAACAAAATTCTGGAGGAATATGGAGAAGTTATCCAGCTCTCTGTCCATTTTGTGTTAAGCATTAATATTTAACTAGGCCTGCTTTATCAATTGAATAACACAAAGCAAGACACTTAAAATTCTTGAAACAAGTACAAAAAAAATAAAGTTAATATTTGAATTTATTTTTTATGAAGCTCAAACAATTAGTGAGTATACTTTATACTAAGCATTATTTGAATAAGATATTTTTCAAAAATGTTCAGTGTTTATTTTTGAACTTGATAAGTATCCTTTTGATACCTCAATGACCCAGATGATATACATTTGTATTTGTTTAATTTTGAGATTTGAACAGAGTGCCCCATATTAATATACATGTATCTGATTCATGGCTTTACAAGACCTTTAGACTATACTATTGTAATTCAAGATCTCAGTCTGTTTAAGCGTTTGTAATCATTGTATTTTATTTGAATGATGATTGTTTTGAGACAATTTAATTTCCAAAATTTAATTTCAATTAGTTTAATTTTATGATTTTGTTTTCGTTCCAAATTGAATTTTCATCGCACATATACATATTACAAAACTTTTCATCCATTATGACTTGCATAAGATTCAATTTTCCATTGGTCTTTTTTGGCTTACACTGTATCAGAGTTCTGCATTAGAATTTAGTGTCTAACAAGTGCTTACATTTCTGTAATTGCAACTAGGTGGTGGATTTTCTCATGTTAATGCCTTGTTTTAATGTTGCCATTTCTTAATTTTCTCACTGTCTCCCAGGCCTGTAGCCAGGATTTGCCAAGGGGGTCACCTCAGGGGGCTCACTTTTGACAACTTACAAAAATGACCAAAATCACTTGAAAAGTGCTCAGAATGGTGAAAAACTGCATGATTTGAAATATTTTTTGCGAGGGGCGTTCAATCGAGCCCCGCAACCCCCCCCCCCCTCCCCCTGGCTACCGGCCTCTTCTCTCCTATTTTCTCAATTTAAAGGGTGGCTTATCAGCTTATTAGGTTGAGGGAAATTATCAATAGGATTGTTTCAGATACTGGAGCTGGCGAAACAAAGATGAACACCATGATATATGGCATGTGTACAAGGATTGATCTGCTCAACTTTATATCTGCGCAACCTAATACTAATGGAGTCTAATTTAGGTGGGTTGCACATTTTATTAGCCAACTCTACTTCTTTGAACGGTTGTAGTACAGTTCATAAAAATTTTAATTGCTGAATCGCCACAAAAATTTGGCTGGAAACACTCATTTTATAATTGTAGGAATTAATATGATTGATGAAATATGTCAGTTGGGTATGTGTCATAAATTATTTGTAGATCTTTTCATGGACAACCATAGAATATGAAATTCTCGTTATAAGGTCTCATTTTTTTATTGAGGTTAATTTACCTGTACCTACCTGTTCAATTAGCTTGTATATGCAGAATGTTCAACAAATGAAACTCCTGTCTAATTTCAGACTCATATCCCCAACAAAAAGGCATTAAGCGACGCATGCATGGTGTGTTAATAGAGTGCTTCCCAGGAATTTGGGAAGAACATGGAGGATAACTTCAACAGAATAATTTATACCCATTCCAGGATTATTTCAACATCTGGGATAATTTCCACATACTACTATTACTATATAAGAATTACTACCAACAAGTACTTGCATGACTACCATGCATTGGATTACTACTTACTACTAGTGTTGTCGCGATGTGCCATAATCGTACATCGATGTATCGGCAATTTTCAGTAGTAAACATCGATGCACATCGCGATGTACATCGAGAAAAAGTCTGAGAAAAGTGCACTGAAATACCGAACGCTAATGCACTAAAATACCGAACAGAACAAATTAATAAGAGTACGCTAGCACATCCGGGAACTTCTAGTAACGATGAAATAAAAGTAAAGTAAATTTTTTTAGATTAATGGTTCATTTCGACTAGCTAAAACAGTTTTAAAACAAAAGAATATCAGAAAACATTGGAAAATGAAATAAGACATGAGAAAGGTTTGCGTCAAAATAAGACAAGAAAGGGTGATTTTTAGCAAATTAAATTTTTTTTAAAACACCGATGTTTTGTTTCACACATCGATGCATCGCCAGAATCAGCTTTGGCGATGTATATCGCGATGTGTCGATTAATCGCGACAACACTACTTACTACCAATGACTATATACTTGGAATTGGATTACTAATACAGCAAAACCTGTCTAAATGGAACACCTTTGATACCCCTAAAAGTGGTCCACTTGGGAGATGTTCCACTTCAAGAGGGTCATTTTTATGTCCCCACCACATAGTGTGGGGCCATATTGTCGGCCTAGGCGCGTCCGTCTGTCTGTCCGTCTGTCCGTCTGTCTGTCCGTACGTCCGGCAGTTTTCTCCAAAACCGCTACAGATATCACCTTCAAATTTTCAGGGATAACTTATGAGTGCATACAGATGTGGATGAAAAAAAATTAACTCGATACCTACTTCCTGTCGGCCATTTTGAAGTCAAATGCTAAAATCCTTGTCTGCAAACTTTAAGAAAAACTGCTTCACAGTTGCTTTTAAAACTTTAACATCTTGTTCAGCTCACTTCATTCTAGATCTGATTAGGTTTTGGACCTGCTAGCTCAGTCATGTCAGCCATTTTGAATGTCTTAAGAAAAGTTAGCGCGCGATAATACTTTGTATCATATTGAATGGTGTTTTTGAGTTTTCATACTTTAACTATTTAGTAGCTTTATAAATAATTTCAGATGTACTTTGCTGTAAAAGCCTACTTTATTGTTAACAGTAGTTATATGTGATAATTTTGTAAAAAGAAATCAGCAAAAACTCATAAGGACTTTTTTATTGTCGGCCATTTTGGATTTTTCGGTCCTAAAATCTTGTCTGTGAAGTCTTGTCTGCGCGTTTTCAGGTGAACCGTTTGGTGGATCAATTTCAAATTTTCAGGGATGATTCTTAGTATAAAAATCTAGATCTCATTAGTTTTTTGGCATTCTGGGTAAATGTCAAGGCAGCCATTTTGGATTTTCCGTCCTAAAATCTTGTCTGTAAAGTCTTGTCTACTCGTTTTCAGGTGAACCGTTTCGTAGATCAATTTCAAATTTTCAGGAATGATTCTTAGTATGAAAATCTAGAACTGATTAGTTTTTTTGCATTCTGGGTAAATGTCAAGGCAGCCATTTTGGATTTTCCGTCTCAAAATCTTGCCTGTAAAGTCTTGTCTACGCGTTTTTAGGAGAACGGTTTGATAGATCAATTTCAAATTTTCAGGGATGATTCTTTGTATGAAAATCTACATCTGATTACTTTTTTTGCATTCTGCGTAAATGTTAAGGCAGCCATTTTGGATTTTCTGTCCTAAAATCTTGTCTGTAAAGTCTTGTCTACCCGTTTTCAGGTGAACCGTTTGGTAGATCAATTTCATATTTTCAGGGATGATTCTTAGTATGAAAATCTACAAACAGATTAGTTTTTTGACATTCTGGGTAAATGTCAAGGCAGCCATTTTGGATTTTCCATCCTGAAATCTTGTCTGTAAAGTCTTGTTTACATGTTTTCTGGTTAACTGTGTGACGGATCAATTTCAAATTTTCAGGGGTGGTTCTTAGTATGAAAATCTAGAACTGACTAAATTTTTGGCATTCTGGGTAAATTTTAAGGTGGCCACTTTGGATTTTCCGTCCTCAAATTGTGTTGGTAAAGTCTTGTCTACTCATTTTCAGGATAACCATTTCACGGGATCACCACTTGGTGGGGACATTTTGTACACATTTGTGTTCTTGTTAAATTATTTAAAATTATTTTTTAATGTTTGCATATAGTACACTAAGTGTCGGATAAGTATATGATATCCTATGATTTTGAGAGATATCATTTTTATCCATGAGTTGATATCAATATCTGGACGAGTGAGCGTAATGAGTGCAGATATTGATATCAACGAGTGGACTAACATAATATCACGAAAAAATCATAGGATGTTCTATTCATCCCATAGTTGACATCAAATCATCCCACAGTTCACCTTAAAAGCATTTCACAACATCATTGAGTTTTATTTTGTCATTTGAACTATAGCAAACACATTAATTATTTCCATATTTGTGACGTCGTGAAATCACCATGTAAGCATATAACATGTAACAATGCACGTCACATTGGTGGGAGTTTTCAAATCCGTGGAAATACAGATGTCGCTTTTTTTCCACGCATTTGCAAAATATCATAAATATATATACATGTTATTCTACAGATTTGACCTCAACTATGGGATAAGCTGGGATAACATTCATATGTAGACTGGGATATTATTGATGTATAATGAGGTTACACTCATGTGTACTGGGATAATTCAATGTATATTGAGATAACTCCCATTTATATTGGGACTATCCCATTTATATTGGGACTAAGCCCCTGTAAACTGGGATTACTAAATGTTTAATGGTTTTACTTCAGTATACATTGGGATTGCTAAAATGTATAATGGGATTAGTTCAGTATCCATTGGGATTGCTAAAATGTATAATGAGATTAATTCAGTATACATTGGGTTTGCCAAAATGTATAATGGGATTAGTTTAGTATACATTGGGATTGCTAAAATGTATAATGGGATTAGTTCAGTATACATTGGGTTTGCTAAAATGTATAATGGGATTAGTTCAGTATACATTGGGATTGCTAAAATGTATAATGGGATTAGTTCAGTATACATTGGGATTGCTAAAATGTATAATGAGATTAATTCAGTATACATTGGGTTTGCCAAAATGTATAATGGGATTAGTTCAGTATACATTGGGATTGCCATTGAATGTCCAGTACTGTGATAACTCAGATGTACAATGGGATTACTCAAATCTTAATGAATACTGAAATTACTCAAACATATAATATATTGAGATTATTCCCATGTACATTGAGATAATACTTGGAGTACTCTCCTCTACCCTGTGATTCCTACCATGTATACTGAGATTACAACTGTGTATGATGGGATTATCCCACCCTAAGTGCTTTATATGATTGTATAATAGCATTGTATAATTGCATTTATAAAACCAACACTCATCGTATTCGTATATAACTCTTGAGAACGATATACAACTCCTGGATAGCGTATACAACTCCTGGGCAGCGTATACAACTCTTCGACTAGATATACAACTGATGAATTTTAAATTAAAGGAATATTCCTTGCCAAACCATCTCTCTCCTCATATGGTAGCTATAACCATTATATATGCTTGCCATGTTTAGCAAAACACGCAAAAATGCTTTGATATGGTCAAATTTGATCACTTAGAAATGTGATGCTCAATTCCAGTAAGCTGCCATCTTTTAAAATTTCACACAGGAAGTGATGTCATTGACTCTCAACTTTGAATATAGCATTACGTGAGGAGCTATTAAGAATTACAAAACCAGCTAAGATATTCTTTTTCAACTTTGTATCTTACTTAATCCTTCTGAAAATCTCTTCTTTTATTCTAAGTTGACAAGCCCTGAAAATATTTTTGCACAGAAAGTAATGATCACTTGTCTAGAAGTGATTTTGTGCTACTTTCCTATACTGTTATGGGCAAGGCTATAGAAGTTGAGAGTTGGGATGACATCACTTCCTGCAAGAAATCCTAAAAGATGGCAGCTCACTGGAAATAAGCACTAGATTTTTAAATGATCAATATTGACCATATTAAAACATTTTCCCATGTTTTGTTAAATATGGAAACTATATATATGATTATAGCTACCATATCAAGAGAGAAAGGGTCTGGCAAGGAATATTCCTTTAACCTTTTATTGATTAAAGATTAGGGTGGGATAATAAGATCATATAATGGTTGATTCTGTATATCGTTATACTCTCGTGAGTATATGATATATTCACTCGTTCCCTTCAGTCACTCGTGAATATATCATATACTCACTTGAGTATAAACACGATATATGGAATCAACCATTATATAACCTCATATTACATCCAAGTATACAAGGATTACAGACCTATCCAGAATGTACATCCATGTATAATTGAATAACTTCAATGTTTGTTGGCATTACTCCAATATATACTATAGGATCACAATCATGCTAAACCCCAATCACTATTATAGAAGTAACGCACTGACTAATACTGCCATGGTCACATTTGCTCCGATTTTTAGTACTGGTGCCCCGACCGATGAGTATTTTGTTCATAGTTGCATTCAGTTTTGAACGTTATACCCATCAACCGAGGGGCAGCGTTGAAGATTGGAGCAGATGTGACCACAGCATAACTTATCACCATTTACTGTTTCAACTTATGTGTATGAACTCACCTGTATTTGGGAGAATAGGGTTAAAGAACAAATAATTCATTAATACTGCTGCATTGTTTTATGAACTCATTATAGATATTATATAAAATTGTGCATATTTTATTCTAGAGTTTACATTTGTGCATGTATAGTGTTGATACTTCATTCTAGGCTGATATCATTCTACATATACATTGTTGATGTAGATATCTCATTCTAGGTGTTACATCATCATCATACATGTACATTGTACTGTAGATATCTAATTCTAGTTGTTACATCATCATCATACATGTACATTGTTGATATCTCATTCTTGGTGTTACATCATCATCATATGTTTTCGTTGTTGATACCTCATTCTAGGTGTTACATCATCTTACATGTACATGTACATTGTTGATACCTCATTCTCGGTGTTACATCATCATACATGTACATTGTTGATATCTCATTCCCGGTGTTACATCATCATACATGTACATTGTTGATACCTGATTCTCGGTGTTACATCATCATACATGTACATTGTTGATACCTGATTCTCGGTGTTACATCATCATACATGTACATTGTTGATACCTGATTCTCTGTGTTACATCATCATACATGTACATTGTTGATACCTCATTCTAGGGTTTACATCATCATCATACATGTACATTGTTGATATCTCATTCTTGGTGTTACATCAATATCATATGTGTTCGTTGTTGATACCTCATTCTAGTTGTTACATCATCATCATACATGTACATTGTTGATACCTCATTCTCGGTGTTACATCATCATACATGTACATTGTTGATACCTCATTCTCGGTGTTACATCATCATACAAGTACATTGTTGATATCTCATTCCCGGTGTTACATCATCATACATGTACATTGTTGATACCTGATTCTCGGTGTTACATCATCATACATGTACATTGTTGATACCTCATTCTAGGTGTTACATCATCATCATATGTACATTGTTGATATCTCATTCTTGGTGTTACATCAATATCATATGTGTTCGTTGTTGATACCTCATTCTAGGTGTTACATCATCATCATACATGTACATTGTTGATACCTGATTCTCGGTGTTACATCATCATCATACATGTACATTGCTGATACCTGATTCTCGGTGTTACATCATCATCATACATGTACATTGCTGATACCTCATTCTCGGTGTTACATCATCATCATACATGTACATTGTTGATACCTCATTCTCGGTGTTACATCATCATCATACATGTACATTGCTGATACCTCATTCTCGGTGTTACATCATCATCATACATGTACATTGTTGATACCTCATGCCAGGTGTTACTTCATTGTACACGTAAAGTGTTGATACCTCATTATTATATATGTTACAATGGACATGTATATTGTTGATACCACATTCACGATTTTTGTACAGATTTAGCTTATACCACTTTGAATTTGTTCAAAAACATTTAAATAGATTAAAACTAGAAATGGACCAATAATGGATAGTTTTCCATTCCAAATGGGCTACTTATTTCAACATGGACCACTGCAAAGTGACCCCACTTCTCAGACATTCATTACAATCAATCAGGTCCAGCTTTTTTGAGGATTAGATCTGACCTGGACCAAACTAAGACTTAGAACTGAAACCCTCCTCTAGATCATGAACATTATGAATTTATTTTTGGATGAAATGTGATTCTTTTGAATAATTTGGTTTCGTTATTTCTTACCAACCATGGGCTTTCACCAGTTTTTATTGATGTAAGGCAGCTATTTTTGTACACAGTATATCAAATATATATGTTTTGTTTTTTGCAAATCTTTTCTGACAGAGATTTGTATTTATTTTTACCAATATGTAAATTGAAGTCAAAAAGCAATCATGAGTGTTAACCATTTTGAAATTGAAATGTTGAGCTGTGAGTTAAAGACTTATATTGGCAAAGATGTGAACTAGTACTGTATAGCTAACCAAAATGTTCAACCAAGGCCTTAAGTTAAGCTTTAATGTCCTGTTTAAGAACCCCTATTCTAACTATTGAAAATGGATTCTAGCAATAATATCCCACTTGTTTAGACTTGATTAACTTGAGTTTTTTCTGACATAATGAGAATGAAAATTTTGTATCTATCCCCATGATAATATACTTAATGATATGCATCTTTTACGTCAATTGTATCTCCATGTTAAGTCAATGGCACCCTTGCTGAAATCCTCATTTTCTCTGAAGAACTCAAGTTGATCAAATCTCAACAAGTAGATCATCCTGGATAGTATTGCTAGAATCCATTTTCAATAGTTAGAAATTGCTTTTTGGAACTTTTTTTTGGCTCACAGTATTACGAATGACAATGCATGCTATTTACTTTATCTGTGTTGTTTTAAATGCTTATGATACTGTATTTTACTGTTAGTTCATTTTAAGAGTATAATTACCATGTAAAGATGAATGATGTCTATGGGTATATTTTGGTAATAAACAAAGGTGACAGAAAAATGTTTGGCTTATTTCTGTTTGTTTTTGATCAAAATCATCAATGCGCCATTTGATAACATAAAAAATACTTTTTGTTTTGCTCTGAATATAGTTTATGCATTTTAAAAGTATATCCACAGCACCATCTGTTTCCATTGTTGCATGTTATAACTATTCTAGCCCGGCCAAAAATTCTTTCAAAATCATGCAGCTTTTCATCATTCTGAGCACTTTTAAAGTAATTTTGGACATTTTTGGACCAAATGAGAATCCCCGATAAGGAGAGCTTTTTAGAAGGACATTGCTTTTTGTTCTGGATGTGATCATCATGGAAGTTTAACACTACATCAGAGATTATCTTAGATATTAGCTGATCTTAGATATTCCCAAAACAACTTGTGTGATATAAAAATTGCTTTTTTAAGAACATTTTTTGCAAGACAATGAACTCGTTTTTTAAGGTTAGACTCTAACTGTGGTTAAAATACGTGTATGGCCTGATGGGATAGGAACAAAGTGTCACAGTTGTAAGATACCTATTTATCTGAACTCTTAGAAAATAAAAAGAAATCAATGGGCGTTTCCATAGAAATATGTTTTTGAGACCTTTTCCGCTCATGAGAATGACGGAATAATGGAACCAATACATAAAAAATTCTTAAAATATATTTCTGCTGGAGCGCCCATCGATTTCTTTAGGAAAACTAAGACTTTGCTTCATTATGTTACTTAGCCACATTCTATTTTGCTCGTACAGTAATGGGAGAGTTATTGATTCTAAGCAAAATGTACCGGTTAAATAAAATTGAATTTTATCGCTTCACAAAAAACGTTCTTCAAACGCACGTTTTAATAATTCGAAGAAAATATTTCAGGATGTATAAAGTCACCTCATTTCTAAAAATATGTTAAAATTTCATGCATGATGATCACTTCCAGAATAAAATAGTTGTGTCCTTCTAAAAAGCTCTCCTTATCGGGGGTTCTCCTTTGTCAAAAGTGAAGCAAGGGTATATTGAGAACGCTTCGATTTACCCTTCAAATAATGATAGAAAATCAAATTAAATAAACAATAACTTTCTGCGACTATTTTATTTTGTTTCTCTTAAATATAAACTGGTCACACCACCATTTGGATGCAGCATATCTTGAACCAAAAAGGTATGTAGTTTGATAGTGTTTGATTAAAGCAACGCACTGATGTAAAAATGGCGTGCGCAGAATGTGCTAACCCTAAGCGTGTGCCTTCAGCATATAGCTGTCTAGTCTTTTCTTTGATCGATAGATGACACTAGCACCAACTAGGAAGACGATAGATGTGACAACAATACTAACGATAACAATCTGCTGGAGACCTGGAATAAATAAAAGAATAATTTTCAGCTCAGATAATGTGTAACTCCCGTATACTTACAATACCCTATGTATAGGATATTTTACGTGATCATAACCGTTCAATAACAATGAATTGCCAAAAAAAAGTCCACCGAAAAAATGGTAGTATTATATTATATTGCCTTTAACACAATTTTTTGTCTCGCATATTTAATTATCTCGCTTTTTCTAGATTCTGGCGACGGCCTGTCAATTCGTGACCGTTTTGAAAATATGTTTTATTTTATAATTGTACTTACCTTGTTCGTCACAAACCAGTGTACACATAGCCGTGAGCGTGTCAAGTCTAAGGCCAGTGGGACATCTCTTCGTGATACCAGACCCAAGATAACAGACAACATACTCTTCACATGGTAAACCTTGAACCTGATGATACGTCTTCGCTCCGTTTATTTCTCTGCTGTATTCTTTGGCGCAGAAACCTGATAAATAGAAACAAATGAAAATCGTGTTACGATTTAGAACGTATTTTTCGTTCATATACTAGCACAGGATAACTCATGCGAAAAGTGCAAGGCGCGAAATACACCCCATGCAGACAGATCGCCTAAAATTACATTCGTATGATGCGAGACTCGACAATCAACGGGAAGCTAGAAACATTTTGTCACCAATGTAGCAAATCATCTTTTACTGCTTAATAAATGGTGAATGACATTAATATTAGGTTTTACAAGTATGAGAATATCATGATGTTTAATATTTTAAAGTAACTCGTTTGAAAACCGAGGGCGGTGATTGAAATTACGATATAAAGATAAAACCGCAACAAAATATTAGTAGATTTCTTTGAAAAACTATTAAATATACATCACATATCGAATTTTTCAAAACAGGAAAAACATAGTAAGGCAGGCATATATCCAATTCACCCTGGTAGCATTAACATTGATCTCATATATGTCACGATTTATATTTAAAATATAACTATTATTCGAACTTATGATAGGACATAAGTATAATGTGCACTTCCAGGTAATAAAGTAGCATCATACTTATGTCCGATCATAAGTTCGAATAATAGTTGTGTTTCAAATATTAATTTCATGACATACATGTATACGTGACCAATGTTAATGCTACCAGGGGAAATTGGACCTGCAGGTCTTACTACTATATATTTATACATATTATTATTTATTCTTTCAAGGTAGACTGAACTGAATAAAGAATTAAGGTCGCGGTTACATTATATTGCTCTACGGCGCGCGTACGGCGGACGTACCTTCACAAACTCGATAAAGAATATGTACATCGTGCTTATTCCTATATTTGCATGAATATTTTCATTGTTGCATATTTTTCTCGTCTTTTTGGGAAGCTAAGGCAGTCGTACGATAGCCTTAGATCAAATGTTACGGAGGCATAAGGAATGCAGAATAAACTGATAAATCCACCTAAATAAGCATATTCCCAATGACCAGAACAAAGCTTAATGTATCCAAGTAGATTATGCTACATTACCTTCGATGTCTACACGATGCATCGCCACCTCTATTGTATTCACCAATCCCTGTTCACCTTTTCGTCCTTTCAGTCCTTTCACACCCTTGCTTCCGTCTACACGATCGCCCTTTTCACCTTGTGGGCCCGGGACACCAGTTGGGCCTATGGTACCAGGTGGTCCCGGTTCTCCCTTTGTTCCCTGAACACTATTACCTGTTCCCGGAGGACCTCCTGTTCCGATAGTTCCCGGTGGACCTGATGTGCCTGGTGGACCTCCACTTCCAGGAGGACCTCTTGTACCTGGTGGACCCCCTGAACCAGGTGGACCTCCTGTGCCTGGTGGACCTCCTGAACCTGGGGGGCCCACTGTGCCTGGTGGACCTCCTGAACCAGGTGGACCTCCTGTAGCTGGCGGACCTCCTGTACCCGGCGGACCTCCTGTACCCGGGGGACCTCCTGTTCCAGGAGGACCACCTGTTCCTATAGTTCCTGGCGGACCTCCTGTTCCTGGAGGGCCTCCTGTACCTGGTGGACCTCCTGTACCTGGTGGACCTCCTGTGCCTGGCGGACCTCCTGTCCCTGGTGGACCTCCTGTTCCTGGAGGACCTCCTGTCCCCGGTGGACCTCCTGTCCCTGGTGGACCTCCTGTTCCTGGAGGACCTCTTGTCCCTGGTGGACCCACTGTACCCGGTGGACCTCCTGTGCCTGGCGGACCTTCTGTGCCTGGCGGACCTTCTGTAGCCGGTGGACCTCCTGTGCCTGGAGGTCCTACCGTACCTGGTGGGCCTACTGTCCCTGGTGGACCTCCTGTGCCTGGAGGGCCTTCTGTACCTGGTGGACCTTCTGTCCCTGGTGGACCTTCTGTTCCCGGGGGGCCTCCTGTCCCTGGTGGACCTTCTGTTCCTGGAGGACCTCCTGTCCCTGGTGGACCTCCTGTTCCTGGTGGACCTCCTGTGCCTGGCGGACCTTCTGTGCCTGGCGGACCTTCTGTGCCTGGCGGACCTTCTGTGCCTGGCGGACCTCCTGTACCTGGTGGACCTCCTGAACCAGGTGGACCTCCTGTAGCTGGAGGACCTCCTGTACCTGGTGGACCTCCCGTGCCCGGAGGGCCGTCTGTAAATAAAATTAAAGGTGTACTAAACCGTTAGATTATGCCGCCTTACCGGAAGGCCATACTTTACGACGGCGAATCAGTTCATTTTATCATGATATCGGGGATATAAAGTCAGCACGTGACTGTTTTTGCAGCAAAACTGATTTCATTTTCAGACAAAGAGGATTGGCGGCCATTATTCAAATTCGATCCTCCGTTGCCTAACTTTGCACAATTTGGTAACAATATTTCTCACATGTTGAAGACTACTAACACGCGTGACTAATGCTTCTAAGAAGTTTAAATACTATAATGAGCTTGCTAGAAATATTATGAGTAGGCTAATTTTTCACGCCAGGCAACGGAGGATAGAGTTTGAATATGTAGGGACGCAATGCCCACGACAACGTTTGATCGAAATTGGGATTTCATAGAATACAACATCACAAGAGCTTAAAACACGCACAGAATTAGCGACGATAAGGTCTTATGAAATGAGATCCAAGTGATTATAGAATAAGAGTTGAAGCGCCATTTGTGACAACGGTATCTGACTTGACAGTTGTCAGGGTGTCCCGGTGTGATTTGAGACAATACATCGTTTCAGCTGTCTTTGCATTGAATAGTATACTTTTTAAGATTATCAAATATGTATCATACATGGTTTTATAGCCGATACAAAGTAGTAAAGGATAATATATAAATGCACTATTAACTATAAAGCACGGATAGTGGGAAGTCATCCATCTAGGAGGAGGAGGTATATACACCAGGGAGAAATAATATAAGTAATATATGGAGGACTTCCCACTATCCGTGCTATAAAGAGTCTAGCATCGAGCATGGTCCACAAATATCTAATTACAGTTTCAACCATAAATAAACGAGGAGGAGATTTTCTATCACCATTCCCATACTTTGGTGGTTTGGAAGCTCATGGTTTCCAATATTCTCCAGCTACTATACATATCCCATAAAATTTATATATATTACATTTTGTCTACTCTCATCCACTGATCATGGCTTCTTGAAATTCTCTTATCTTTAACATGGGAAATCCTCACTTCAGCAAATCCATGACTATTTACGGTCCAAACTGTAGAAGCAATATCAGATCGCTTTGCTTGGTAGCTTTCATAAATCATCCGAAAGAATCTTTATACTTACCAGCGATAGCCCGTCGATTCCTAATAATGGATGGCCTACAATTTTGATCTACTTGGCATCTATTCGATTTGGTCGAGGAAGAGACAACGGCCCTGTGTCCTGGTGGGCATGACTTAAGTGTGCTGGTTAAGATGGGAGAACAGTCAAAATATTGCCCACAGGAAAGATCATCGACGATAGGATAATTTGCTGACCCGCAAATATCTAAAACAAAATTATGATTTGTATAAATGCGACTATGGATTCCTATGGCTCATGTAAATATATTCCTTTCTTTTAAACTTTTTCTGAAATAACAATACTCGACAAAAGTGTTCTCTTAGAAATCTAGTACATAATAAGTGAGTGAATCTTACAAAATTTAAAGGTGATAATTCGATGGGCAAATATTTTTTCTGGCCGGTGTCACAGTTGAGTTTAACAGTGCCAAACGTTTGATGCTAATTCTGTGATTCTGCACCTGTTATCTTGAATGTTTCAGGTCATCATCGTTTTTTGGCATTTGCACGGTGACCCAAAAACGATCTTATTTTTGAAGAACGTTCTCAATCATAATCCATTGACTTGCTTATTTGCTTTCCGTGACTTTGCTATTGTAAAGGCAGATTGTGAGAGATTTTGCTTGAGAGCAAACCCGACTTCAGAAGATAGTTTCAGCCCATTTTTGTACTTTTAGGGCTTGCAATATATGATTCAAAGGTTTACTTCATTCGATCACACTTTGTATTTTACATTTTTAAGATAATAATCCAAGCAATTTCGTTCCCACCCTCAAAAACAATTGTTAACCTCTCTATTATCATGGACTTTCTGGAGAGAAACCAACTAGGTCTATAAATGTATTAATTAGAGCAATATTTAAGCGATTGTGATCTCTTAAAAGCTTATTGAGCCAGGGGGCGCATCCCCGGGGATATATCACACCTCAGTTGTGACCAGATTGTAATCAGTTATGTTCTTGAAGACATATCAGTTAACATTCACATTTTCGAGTCACATTTTGCTCACGTCTCTTCCTTACCATCGACTTCATCTTGATCGTAATCCTTGACAACACATCCGTTTTTTATATTAGTACATTTGCTGTCTGTGTAGGTAACCAGGCAGCAACCGAGGAGAAAAAATGCACAATACACAGTGCTTATCATTGTGCGTTACAAGGATACTTCACCCTCTGCACTGAAAATAATTAATTTACAACTCATTATTTATATCTTATTCTTATAACACCCCATAATTTATATTATTAACACATCTCCATCAAAAATATTTTGAAACTCATACATTATTAAAAAGATTATTACAAAAATAATATCGACTTTTTGGCTCACCCTGTATGTTTATTGACCGGAGATATCTGTAAATATGTACTCACTCGTATATCTATTTATCTAAACACATACTTTTAGACTATTACTTTTAAAGTAAGCTTGAAGAATCAATTCGAATTATCTGAAAACACAACACCTTCGAATTCGAATGTTATAATAAGGATTTGACTTAAATGCTTCTTACTTATGTATAAGCAAGGTCTCATGACTTTTTTATGAAATAGCCTTACCTTATCTATGATATCATATTTCGCTCCCATTCATGACGAATGCATATGAATTTTAAAAGGATATGTCACACGACCACTTTAATTATATTTGATTAAATTGTTAAGCAACTAGTGTTAGCCAATCCTTGATTGTTCATAATTAGTAATTGCCACGATGGCCAGGGGTCTGATTATGGAAATGAAACCGTTTAACGGATATGTCAAAATGATTTTAGTTGCGTGTAATCGAAACATGATAATGATATACCTATTAATTACCTAGTCATCATCGTGAGATATCACAGCCTTCTCTCAGTTTCTTCTTGTGCATTGCAGAGATGGTCTGAGTATCAGAATACTGCAGAAAATGATTCCTACAAGCCAAAAGTTGAAGGGATCAAGTAAATCAGTGATCATGAATTTATTGGGAAGGTATTTTGGTGGACTGTATAATAAAAATTCTAATATTGTATAGCCTATTTTATTGTACCAATAATCTCTTTAAGGGCAAATGTACAAAAGAAAAGAAAGAAAAACTTACATAGACATAACGTACAAGTAGAAAAGTACATAAATACAGATGTACAGGGTGTCCCGAAAGTATGGGGTCCCCCCTAGGCAGACATATACCAGTGTCGTCATAGTATGTGTCATATGTCATTTTAAAGATTATCCAAAGTTACATTGATTCACCAAGTATCATGGTTCAACTCTCAAATGTGAAAAAATTACAGGTATTTAAAAATTTAGTGTTTGGTCAAAATTAAGTTCAATTTTACACCAAATCACTAGTCAATGTGTCCTCTCGGGCCATCTTGACAGCAGCAATTCTTTTCGGATTGGATGGATATTGAGTTGGAAAAAGAGAACAGTGAGGGTAGAAACTCTAAGGAAACTCTTCTAAAGTCCCTTAACAGGTTTTAAGAGGGTTATAAAGTTACACACTCCTATTTGAAGGACTTTTAAGGTCATATCTGAAAATAATTGACGCTGTTAACACGGTCAAGGGGGGACACATTGACTAGTAATGTGGTGTAAAATTGAACTTTATTTTGACAAAACACTAACTTTTAAAATGACTGTAACTTTTTCCCATTTGGGAGTTAAACCATGATACTTGGCAAATCAATGTAACTTTGGACAAGCTTTAAAATGATATAAGACACATACTATGAGGACACTGGAATATGTCTGCCTAGGGGGATGGACATACTTTCGGGACACCCTGTATATATATGTATATACATATGTATCCGGATCACGTCGTTACTGGGTGAGTCTGTCTAGTAGAGATCTACCTACTGAGCAAAGTACTCCTTATAGAGAATAATTCATTTACCATGTTTGAAAAGATGCTGCAATATTGCTCCTCAGCATTAAATAAGAAAGCTAGTAAATCCATATCTGATAGCGTTACAAATTCTGAGTTCGGGTGGAAGATGTGGTATTTTATATCTACCCACCTCGACTTCAAGCTTGTGACTGCTAATTCTAAGCGATGTTAAATTGCGGCGGGCATCTTTATTCTTAATATGGTCAAGATAATTTTCATAATGAAATGTCACAAAAACAGAACAATTGATTAATTGGTCTATATTGGGGCATATATGACCACATATTTAAAAAGCTGTTTTTCTGGTTCGTTTATCATCTTAGAATCGTAACAAAGACCTCGATTCTATGATTTATGGAAAATATATGACCTCATTTTATTCTGGCCATTGCCAAAGACCTCAATAGCTACGCGATTTCGGTCTTTTAACAATGAACAGAATAAAAGTTTCGGTCATATATTGCGCCATAAATCATAGAATCTCGGTCTTTATTCTCTGTGTAATGTACTGACAGAAAGGCATATTATTTGGTTTGTTTTGAATGCAACATGTTTGAAGAACAAGGCACAGGGTAAACAAATTCGTTCTGATACAGTCAACCACCTAGTATAAATTGCAGTGACATCTTTTGCACAAAACTTGAGCCGAGGAAGCATTGGTTCACAGACATTGGCACCACTTAAAATGTGAATTAGATGTTTTTCGATGTTAAATTACAGGTCTAGCAAGCACAGACATCGACAAATTTCCTTTTTAATGTACAGTATGTTTGTACATTTGTATGAAACACTTTGTAAGCCCCAAACCAATGGGAAAACATAAGAGAAAATAAAATTTACGAACACTATAAAGATGATTTTGCAGACATAAAATTGATTTAGATATTCTAGATAACATTATAAATAAATGTCTTAAATGTAGCAAAAACATTCTTGGAGGCATGTGGGTAAAGCCCCCCTCACATATGACACTCAAAACCACTTAAGTGTGAAATTAATTTTGTTAAAAAGCGAAAAAAATTCTAAAATGTTTTTTTTCAAATAGACATATAGTATATATCTGTATACGATTGTACATTCGTTACCCAAGGCATTGAAGTAAACTCCAAGGAAAAATAGGCGAATTTTCAAATTGAAATTAGGGTCCGTCTCAAACATGTCGATTTCATATCTTGACCCCCTGATTAATATGTCAAGCTATTCAAATTAGAATGCAACATTTTCAAAAAACCAAGAACGTTCCTCATGGTACTTAACTGTCCTTTAAAATCGCATATGGATTTGGACTGCAAGCTTTTCCTTTTTGATGTGCATCACTTGTCAACATGAACCAATAAAATCTATAATTTTTCTCGATTTTTTTTACTTACCTTTTGTTTTTCATTTGAATAAAATTGAAAGGGTCGACTTTATTGAAACATGAATCGATGCGATCATGAAAAATGATCCTAAAGACGATAAAAAATGATAACAGTTTTATTTGGGAAAAATTGATCATTACGCTATTTCACTATTCAACCGCATGTCGATTTTCACAAGACAATTAGAAACAAATGACAATGATTTAGAAAGTTCATTTTAAGGAACGCTTACTTCACGAATCGACATTTTTGATATGTAGGATATAACTAGCTAAATTGAGAAACACCCAGTTTGTATTTGTATCCAAATATGACCACGTTCATGTAAAATTTCCCGTCAAAACCCGACATACGTAAAACATGATTTGGAGAATCCTGTCGTGTTTCACATTTTATTCTAAAATATCGTCAAAGAAAATAAACTTAGGACATGTACGTATTACGTTCGCAAAGTTTATATGCACTGAACACATCTTTTCTACATCCTCTTCACACCAACTTTACCAAAACATTGCACTGATTCATGAGACAAGGGTTTACATTTTTAGATTGAATGAGAATTGGGTGACGGATGCCATGTCGTTAAAATATTTTTTGACACCCTTGGTGTATGTTTCCCTTTTTTCTCATTTACCAGGTATGGTACCTTGCCTTGTTTTTACAATTTGAGTCATTTTTCCTTTGGGATTTGCTTTTAATGCATGCTTAGAACAGTTGCAGGTTGACATAGAGACGTTTTACTTGCATGTATCACACCAACAGGACAGCCATTTACGTAATATTGAAGTACAAACAGCATCTATCTAGATATCTAGATCTGAAATGTCCCTTTAACATATTTCAAATCAAGAACCCGATCCTTATTCTACTCGAGTGTACGTTATCAATTGAAACATATGATATTGATGTCGAGTCGAGTCCAGTAAGGCTGACGTATACGTATAGTTCAATCATGAAAATCATCTGCACCGGTGTAGAGACGTTTCTCTTGACACCATTATCTGCGGCGCGCTTCGCCGATAAACCCCCCCCCCCCCCTCTCCAAGTTCCTATCACAAGACTTTTTTCCATGACCACCGGAAGTGTTTTTATTCCTATGCTTTGCTTCATTCTGAGATTTTTGTTTTAGTCGCTATAATTTCCGCTTTAGAGAAACAAATTTCTTTCTTGTCAGACTCGATCCCTTTTCCGGATTTGTTTCTTCTGGTGTTTTCTTTGAAGCTCTTGCAGTCTGTATATTTTGGTGGTCTACCCCCGGTTTTATTTTTCGAAGAGGGGAAAAATCATCTCGCTTTTGTTGCCTCTATCGTCGCATGCGCATCTTGTGCTTTATGTTTCTATAATGCTAGTTAATTCGATTGGCGATATTTTTCAATGAGGAGCGTAATCTTATGCACCTCATCTCTTGATTTTTTGATTTATTTTATTCTCGGACATTGATTTGCATTGAATAAAGTTTGACGAGTGCATTCCGAATCTTGTACATCAGATCGTAATGTATCTAGTAGATCAGATTGTAATAATGAAATTAGAAAGTAATGATAAGCAAATAAACATCGTTGAAAAGCTATAAAATCTTTCATATTACAAATAAGAGATGGCTTTTTATGTTGTTCACCATTGAGAATGATGCATTCATTGAAAAGGAAACTGAACCCAAACGTTCATAGACTTTATAATTGAAGTCAGCAATCCCCGGGAATGCACTGAACGAAACGTTAATTACAGAGGCACATTTTGGGCTATAATGGTCTTCATAATGATTTTTGTAGTGAAAATCTTTCGGTAAATTATGCTTATGGAAGTTCCAAATAACTTATCGTCTGCTTGCATGTAACGTATTTTTGTAAAGACGTATAAAATGGAAAAGAGTACGCTGAACAAAGAGAAAACTCTTTAGCTGTTATCTTTTCATTGTCTATCAATTGATCTTTATGCGTAATTATCGGAAAACTACTATGTATGTGTTATCAGTGTATTGGTAATCATATAAAATAAAATCAATCCATTTGTGATTTGTAGAAATTACTAATTCAATGCTTTGAGTTCAATGGTATAACCATGTCGATTTTCACGCATGTCGATTGTCACAGTTTCACACCATATTCGCTCATAGATGGGGTCGTACTGGTTATTTCATAAAATGTTTTCGCTAAAATAGAGTGGATATATTGTTTTCTTGAATAGTGTCCGTCTTTACACTAGAATGCTGCCCATGTGTGAATTACATCTTGGTCGTTTT